CATGTATAAATAGCTTTATAAGATGTTATCCCATGGTAAAAATCTCCATAAATGAAATAAGTATGTGTGCACACACAAGTACAAAGTACGCTTCAGATAATGATGGTATGAAAAAATTTGCTTATATATGAGAATACGAATTTTTAATTGAACTCGTTTTTTTGCGTATAGCGAATTTTTTAAATCAATTTTATCGAAAACAAAGTTTCGTGCAAAAAACATATAATCGTGATCGCATCAGTGCTGATCTAATATAATGTTTTGATGATTGCCTCTACTCGCACAAACACTCATATATATATAAAATTTCACACAAATGTCAGAAGTAGATATAATACTGTCGACATATTTTTAACTCCATCAATCTAAATCAAGACGTATTTCTCACCGGAGCTCGTAATTTTAGGGTCTCCTTAATGAGTTACTAAAAAAACGAGCAGTATATAATATTTACCAACGTCTACGAAAAAACTTTTATCGGCGTACATCTGTAAGTAATCATAATCACGCATATGTAATTACGCGTCATTAACTTACGTACCGGATACTTATATGTGCAGTTAGTTCTATGTGTTACGTAACGTGTATACTATACTCAGAACAATTTCGTTTAATAAAAATAACAAAACACCGATTCTTCTTGCGAGGTGTGTGAAAGCGATCGAAGATATAGGTTCTTCCACCGTTTGAATTTCGTTTCAATAATAAAAGAAGATACACGAGAAAAAATACTGTTGAACTCATAAGGAATTAAATAAAATGTATAAAAAAATACATAAAATTTATAAAAAAAAAAAATAAAATATATAAAAAATATATAAAATTTCCAATAGTAGCGTAATTAAAATTAATATTATTCAATGGCAAATATCATTAAAACTACTGTTATATATTGTTTCGCTAATTAAAGTATTAGTTTCAATGATGCCGCTATTGAATCGAAAAAATTTACTCCAATTACGCCTGCTGTTGGACATCCTCATCAGATTCAACGGTATTTCTTTTCCGTGCAACGTGTAAAAAAATCTCTCGTCTCTCGTGTAACCCGTCATCGTGTAATTAATCGCGCAATCAAAATCAATCTTTTTGATTCGGTAGCGATATCATCAAAGCAAAATGCGCATAATATAGTAGTTTAAAATGATGTTTGCCATGCAAATATCGTTTTAGCACAAATATTATCGAGCGTTTCATCGCGCTGAGATCTCTAGCGATCGAGCGATCGCGTGAAAAATATGGCAGTCGGTCGCGGGAAACGACGACGCCGCGGGGAAGATACGTCTTTAACCTGAACGACGCGCGCTCCGCGTCCGGGCTCGTTGTTATACAATATATAACGACGCGAATTAAATGTCGAGAAAATACCATTCGAGAGAGATACCAATTTATTCGACTCACTTAAGGGGGAGGGAGGGGGGAGGATGAGACAAAGGCGCGGGGTCGTTTTTGTCGTTGCGTGCTACGAATTTCCTTAGGTTCGGATGTCGTGACCAATTGACGGCGGCCGTTAGTCGTGGGGTCGCTCAGATGAAAAATTGGAGCTTGCGCAACCGATGATCGCTAATGGTAACTCGCTCAGGGTCGCGCGGACACACGCGTCCTGGAACGGAGATGCACGCACGCGAGTAACGTCAATGCAATTGCGTTGCCGCCGTCGTCGCCGCTGGCTGTTGCTTCAACGACGATACGTACCACTTTAAAAAGGTAAATCGCCACTCAAACGCCATCCGTCAATAAATGACGTCATGAGTGTCTTCCGCGCGCACATCGCGACGCTAGGCTAAATTTGAGGGATTTTGATTTCAAGAGAAACACGCCATCTGACTCCCGACAACCGATCTACGCCATGATACGTATTTGAATTTTCGAACTTTCGAAACGCACAGAACAGAGGAATCGATTTGTGTTAAGAAAATTGTATAATTTCATAAAAAAAATTATTAAATTTATACCAGGATCCGGAAAATATTTTGAATAAATTTGACACTTATGCTGGACTTGTGACATGTTTGCGGATACCTGAACTTATGAAATACTTGAAACAAACAACGAATAACGTTTACTTCGAACGCAGTATGTATTTCTCTGTGTGTACTGCGAGCCAGCGCGAACAACGACGACGGCGGAATAATCGAATCGAGAAATGCCGATCGCTGCAAGATCGCTAGAGAAGTGCCGTTATTTGTTTGGTTAAGGGTGCGCCTCTCGGCGATCCCTCGCCGCACGCAATTTTCGACGTGTCTTTCTCTGTTCTGATAAATGGGCTTCTTTAAGGTCACATATTAGATTAATCGTTAATGGGCACGCCGTACGCCACGTGCATTAACCGTATCGCCCCATACTCGGAGGAAATCCGCCATTCAGGGGCCCCTCAGCTGGGAACACAGCGCGAAACTCGTTCCAAATTATTATGTAATCGCGCGTATCAACACGCACTCGAGCGACCTGGGGACGCGATTGACGTAATTCACCGCGATACGTCCCGTTCGCAATTCCACCTAATGATGATGTATCAATAATCTCCCCGTTCGACCCTCTTAAGAGGATATCATTTTAGACATCGTTTTGGAAGCTCTTAATTCCGCGGAGTTCCTTTAGAAAATCAAAACGATGCCATATAAAGTTGGAAAGCGATAAGCTTGAAAGTCTCCACCGTCGGAAGAAATCGTTACTTTCTATTTCACGAAAATACAAAAAATAAAAAACATTATTTATAAATAATCATGGTAAACCACGGTCGAGCATTCGGTCGAGCACGATCGAGTCAATTAAAATTTATCTATAATCATTTAAAAAAAAAGAAAAAATCCAGTTGATCCGATTAAATATTCCCGAAACATAATTTAATTATTCCCGAAACATAATTCCCGAATCGAAATCTCATTTTCATATGTTAATCATTTATGCTTCAATAACCTTGTTGAGAAAAACAATATCACTTCCCGCTCCGAGTATGTTAATTATCAAATTACTGGATAATTATAGAATGATAATGATATAATAATAATAATAATAATCATCATCATCATCATGAAAATCATAATGATAATAACGCCATCGCTTCAAGAATAATATATGTTGTTAACTATCTCATGCATGGGACGGCAAAACTACATATTGCGTTTCCTGCTTCAAGGATGCGATAGTAATGCGAGCTTCATCGGCACGACAAAATGCGTAATACAGTGTTATTATATCGTGCGTAGGTGCGTACGCGCTGGAATCAGTCGAGTAATCGGCGTATCGCGCATTATTCTCTATCGAGATAGCGTGGCCACTTTAACCCCTCGCACGCTTAATGAGAACCATTTTAGCAAAGCGGCCGCAACTGTATTTGTGAAAGACGTAAACCACGGACACGATCGAAGCCTATTAAAATATTCGAAACATCAAATCGAAATGCAAACAAAAGTGCAAATCAAACGAATGGTAACATACAGTTACAAGAGATGAACCGCGAAGGAATTTCACGAGAATTTCTCAATTTTCAACATTCTGAAGGAAACGAGGTCGGAAGCGTCAGAAATGTGCACATACATACACATTTTGATGTTGTTTAATATGTATTTTGTTCATCGGTAGAAGCAAACTGACGAGTACATAGTGGATCGATGGGACGGTCTTTAGATAACATCACTATTCGGGGACCGTCTTCTCTCCCATCGCGGAAAAAACAACTGAGATTTGCAATTCACGTGGGACGAGATCACACGGCAACAGAGAGTAATAATAAATGTGCGTTTGATTCACACAGTTCAACAAAAGAATTATTTTTTTGTGAACATTTGAAACGAGACTAGTCATTTTCTGTAATTTTTTTGGATGCTGCAATACGAATCCGGCTTCCAAATTGCTCCATCAGTTTATCGCAATTTTGAGAAATTTGGCTATGGCGTTGATAAAATATTCGTGGTTAAATATGGGGTTTCCCGCGGAACATCAAATATCGTAATTACGATATAATAAAATACGTGAAAATAGCTCTTTTTTATAAACTGCAAATCTTTCAAAACCGTAACGTGATGGAGCAATTTGGAGACCGGATTCGTATTCAGCATTCAAAAAGACTACGGAAAATGACTAGTCACGATCTGGTTTCTTTTTTTTTGTTGAACCATGTTAAATACACAGAAATCGAAATCGAAAAATCCCTACGATAAGGTCCTCGAACGTCGTACGGTGCTTCGATCGATAAATGACAGTTCAATTAAACATCGACGGTAACATTTATTCCCTACGAGTAAATGTGAACGACTCGATCTTAGAACATAATTGGTACAGTGACTCACGACACAGTAGCTACGCACATTCGCCGATCTGCGATAATATATTGCGGGCGATTACAAGCTTTCAATCTTTTTCGTGTATCCCATCGGCGTACTTTTCGCGACGGAACGTTACACGCTGAAGTAGCAATTGCGTAATCTCGTCGGCTACGATCTTTCTGCCGGAGGCAATAATCCGCAAGTTCAAGTGTGTGTCTATCCAGGCATTTCGTTACCGCGTAGAATTTCCTGCTCCTTTCCCGATATCCTGCGTACAAAGAGTGTAAGACAATTTTAAAAAATTGACGTTATTTTATCTCTTACTTATATATATATATATTGCGTATTTTTATCTAGACGAGAAGCTGTGAAGTTTCACCGTTACAAAATTATCGGCCCTTTTCTGAATTAATCATTCCGTGATCAGGTGCAAATACTTGTGCAAGTGGTTTTAATTATACAAAAATCTCAAGTCAGATCGTCTGTACTCGGGAAACGGGACACGGATATTTTATATTCTATATACAACTGAACTAGACAATTCTGGAGCAATTTCTCTGAGTCACTAAATCACGAAATGTGTTAGGTAGTACTCGAAAATACAGATTGCACAAATAAGCCTGACTATGGAGAATCTGTGTGCCCGTGGAATTTTACGAATAAATCTCGCAGATGCAGTCCAAAGTCTCGCCGAAGCAAAAGTTTAATATAGGTAAACAGGTTTAACATATGTAATCCTTTTGCGTTATGTTTATTTAACGCTTGCTTAAGCATGACAAACGAGTGCGAGGAATCTTAACGATGAGCATGATAAATTCATACATTTCGTTAAAACGTACGTTAACCTGTTTTTATGCAGCGTAGTTACAATAATTTTTCAAAATCGCTAGTACTTGCATCTTACACTAGCCCGACGCGTTCTTAAGCGCTTTTTCGTGCATTACAAATTATTTAATAATATTTATTATTTGTTTTCGAAACCAACCATTTCCAACAGATCGTTCGTCAAGTTGCCGAGATATGAGAATGAAACATTTCGAGTATGTTTGATTGAATTTATTGAATTTTTTTCACTTGCCCACAACACGTTCGCGCGAATTGGAAATGGCGTATTTCGTAAATGCGATCTGCACGTTTTCTGTCGCCCGCAATATCTTCAGCTGTGATCTTCGTTTCTCAACGATATTACATGTACATGATAGTACATAGAGATTTGCGTTTATCCGGGCTAACAGTGGAAAAGCTTATAGAAATGCCGAAGTACATATCGTTCCGTAAATGCATCGAGTATCGGAAATAAAAGAAACGAATGAGGAAATAAAACGTAAAAAATAAATTTATTATTTTCTACAGTTTACACAAGTCGGAATCTTTTCGATTATAAAATCACAAACGGTAAAATCTCAAAACTGATATTCTATTTGCCGAAATTGTACATATTATTACACAAAACAAACCATCATCAAATCATAAAATCCACACGAAACAAAATATCCCTTCAGTTTTCTATGTAGCACGTATTTGTCTAGTAAGTAAAATCAATCCCCGTAACACACGGAAGATAACTTTGAGTTAAGATCAAGCTGTTAGACAGTAATATTGACCGCTGAATATTTGGCGTCTATTGAGCCGGAAGACGCATTTAACATTATGCACAGTGATGCATTCCACACTAAGATAATAGCAAATAATTTTACCAAGGAGCGAATAACTTGGTAGTCATCTCGTTACCTTTGTAATTAATATTAAAATGTGGTCTGTCTGCAATGACAATATCGTCCTTTCTTGTATATATAGACGATATTACGGTATATAATAAATATTTGTATAGAGTATATATCAGGAATTTTTTTTTTAACCGGTATATCAAAAAATACCGTTTTCACACCGATATTTTCCAGTATTATTAAAAAAAAAACGATCCATGCATTATAGACCAAGATGAAACAAATAAATGTGTCAAGGAACGAATAACTCAACAGCTATTTTGCTCTTTCATTGTTAGTAATGATTATAGACTATGGATAGCATAATATCATCCTCTCTATACGGACGATATTGTAGTATATAATATATATTTTAATATATTATACACATAAAAAAAAGCAATAAATGAATTTGTCAAAGAGCAAATAACTTACCAGTTGTTTCGCTCCTCCATTATTAGCAATGACAGGTCTGTAATAGTTTCTGGTATAATATTGTCTTCTCTAGAAACAGACGATATTATAATATAATATCTATAGTGTATTATATATTATACACTAAGATAAAATAGCAAAAGAATAAATTTGTCAAGGAGCGTATAACTCGACAGTTATTTCGCCCCCTTAATTACTAGCAGTTCCACGACGTTGATATCATCTCTCCTATATAGACGATATTACAGTATATCTACGTAGTGTAATATTATATGTTACATACTAATATATGTATATATTTATAGGACCTATAAGCGCCCGTGCACGAATATTATAGTGCAATGAAAAATAAAGAAAACATTAGTTGAAATATCTGAAATAACTTCAACTAACTTCACACACTTTCGATTATGCATCGCGACAGAGCTCCTATTTCCTTTATTTTTAATTTTACACCCATGAACTCTGTAATGTTGACCTTCCTACAAGACGATGTCAGTATAATATATTATATAGTATAATATTATATATTATATACACTCTATGTGATGATAGGAAATGAATTCATCAAGGAGCGAATAACTTAATAGCTATTTCGCTTTTTCGTGATTAATAATAAACTACATATCGTGAATAGCATATCGTCCTTCTCCCTATACGGGCGATATTACAATATATAATATTATATATATCATATATTATGATAATAGAGCAAATGAATTTATCAAAGAGCGAATAACTCAACAAATTACTTCGCTCCTTTATTAACAGTATTGAGACCACTGCGAGAAGTACGGCATAATATCGTTATTTCTATACAAACAATATCATATCCATAATAGAATAATACTATGTATTATATATTATACAACTTAGATAATAGCAAATGAGTTTATCAGGGAGCAGATAACTCAACAGCTAATTCACTTCCTCTTATTATTAGCAATAAACTGACGTCTGACGCTATAAATCGTCCTTTCTATATAGACGATGTGTTGTTATATAATATCTATAGCAATAACATCGTTATTTCTATATATTATATTGTAACGTGGCATTCCTGGGAAATGCAACTACCGCTTTTTGCAGTTTTTGCGATTGCATTGTCAACATATTATTATCTTATCGTTAAAGCACCGAACTGCCGACGAAGCTAACGATAAAAATACGAAGTGCTTTAACTCAAGACAAATCAGTTAAGTTTGCAATCTGGTGATAAGTAAAAAAGAAATCATCAGTGCAGATGGGAGAATACCCATGTTGGCATAAAAATTTGCTATTTATTATTTATTTATTAATTATTCACCGTGTCGATTGAGTAAGATTATACGCGGTGCGGCATTCACAGGCTGCGGCCCGATTCATACTTACACCGCTGCAGGCGCGTCATACTATACTAATATCCGATCCGTCAATTTCTCAAAGTTTACGCCTTAAATTCTTACTGTGAACTCGACCTTGGTGAACAGTAAAGATAAAATGACACTGCGCTGTAAGCGTGAATCAGACCGCAGCCATAGTCCGATCTTATATTTAAGATCGTCTCAAGTTCATCGTAAGATGCTGCAAGAGCCGCTCTGTTGGCTATACAGCATCTTGCTAGCTGAAGATTAAGACCATCTTTAAATATAAGATCTAACTATTGAATGCTATCCTACGGTAAAGAGAGAGATGAGGTCGAGAGAGGGACTCCTAGTGTACCCGCCGCAATTCAAGCTCTCTTCGAGCCGAACTGACTTATGCGGTTCGCTGGATGATGTGAATTCCGCTATCTGTATGCACAGGCGAAGATAGCTCGCCGATCTTCAGCGCGAACGCGGCCTGCTCGAAGGGCTTCTGCATTGCGCCCCGACTGAAGGGTCCGAGGTCACCGCCGCGCTTCGCTGAGCTGCAGTCACTGTATTTCGAAGCGAGCTCGGCAAACGTTGCCTTACCAGTTGCAATTTGTTCTCTAAAAGCTGAGCGAAATATTTTCAGTATAAGCGGATCTCACAGCAAAAACACGTTCGCGGTAGATTATAAAAAATATAAGGAAATGATTGAAAGTATAATTAAAACGGTTCTTTTCATAGAAAATATTTAAAATTTTACAGAACTCCGGACTTACATTTCACCAATTCGAGAGCTTCTTCTTTTGACCTGGTGATGGTTTCTTCTCGCCATGAGGAAGGTCGACGTGAGCCTGAATGTTTTACGAGAAGGTGAGAACATTGTACTTCCTCCGGTCCGTCGACCTTGCCATTGCCGGATGGATCGGCTGGCTTGTCAGGCCTGTCCCATTGACTTTCCTTGGTATAAATATTTAAATAATAGTGTTGACCTACAATAGTTTCGTGTGTCAGAGATAGAAATGAAGACCCAAGCTGTGCTGTGTTAGTCAAGTTACGCTTGGCTTAGCTTGCACTTGTGCGTTATCATGTACATAAAAGACAAATTCTCACAGTGGATGAAACGGAGCGAGATGTCCGATAAGTACGTAACAAACTTGCCAGTAAGTTGAACATTAACGGAACAATTAATAAACTCTTATAACACAGATTCTCCTACCATGACTATAATTTTACGCTGGACTCATACATCGTTTAGTATCTTCCGACAGGATTCCGAAATGTAGTCGTTCGAAGCAGCCATAGGCTGGCGTGCGTTCGTTAATTCTCCTCGAATCGAAAATTCATACTCGACGTACCAATATTACAGCCGGTTGGGAATGCGAGGCAAATTAACTCGAAGAGCGTACTGCCTCGAGCGCATCGGATTGATCGTATCAGCGAACGGGGAAAAAATGCCGGCCGTATACGCGGGGCTCGTAATCTCGCCGGTGATAAGCGCCCGCACGAAATTACGACTCCAGCCAAATTCGCCGATCGTGAAAATGATCGTGAAATGATGCTGTATCGTTCGTAGATCGGAAATCGCCGATCCCGACGCACCTGTCGATCTGCTGAGGCGTTTCTCCCAGCCCGATGGTAGTTCCTCGTCCGCCATTATCGCTGAAGTATTTTCGGTATATTTTGCTTCTCCTCTCTCTGGCTCACGTCAAACGTCGCTCGTCTCCATTGCGCTGAATCCGACGTCGTGTGCCGCCTCTCTGCGCCGTCGTGCGCTGTGTGCCTCCAGGTCGGCCAACCTGCCAATTACGAATCACCCGTAAACATGACGTGTAACCGGGAATCGTCACTAGGAAAAATAGTTACTCAGTGCCGGTCCACAACAGGACCAATCGCAGTTAATTATTTTCTTCATATTTTACTGTCAACTTCTTAAGGCTTAAGGCTTAAAATACCTATTGTAACCTATTGTGGACCGACACTTACTCAACGTGATTCTTCTGCAACTTCTAATTCAATTCAATCTCAATCTCCAATACGTAGTCCGATACGGGCTTAACGGAGAACGTCACTTTCGTCACCGACGAGATAAGAGCGAAGACCTTACTCGTCAACCTTACCCGAGATTTTTAGAGTATATGAAGAATTTCGCTGCTTGATAACCTCCCATCGGTAAATTTTGGCCGCCGATTTCCGACTCACGCTTACAGCGCAGTGAGCGTCACTCTCTGTCTTTATCGTTCATTAAATGCCAAAGAAAGATAGAACCGCAGCCTTTGCTGTCGAATCAGCGTACGTAATAACTAGAAAAATGCGGTCTCATGAGAGATATTATTGTAAATCCGCATGCATATCGATAAAACGTTGAGGTAATTGGTAGTTTACAAAATTAATTCTTATACTCTAAATACATCCGGACATTTGTATCGGATAACCGAAATCAGTCGATAACATCATCCTCCTTCAATTATCCCCGCTCCAGATCCTCCGTGTGGCCATGAAAATTTGTCCAAGACTGACGGTCTTCAACGATACCTTGTTCGTGGTTTCGTTATCATAACTGTCTCTAGAATCCACATATGAGACCGTCCGACTTTGTTAAACGTTTAGTATGATAGGTTATTTGTAATCGATGTTCAACTAAATTTCTCTTATTTTATGTAAAAGCGCTATATGAGATCTTTGCACGTTCTACAGAGCTACAGCAAATTCCAACAGTATGGCAGCCGGAACACTGTTACACCTAAGTTGTACAGGGAACAAATGGTGCGGAGGATTTTCATATTTTTTTCCATAATTTAATTATCTCTTCCAACTTAATTTTCACGTATCTTTTTTCTACAAATTTCTTCCGTATTTCTTAAAGATTCTCCACGTTTCTTCACTCTCTTTAGCGTTATTTGTCAAGATTTTTATATTAAACACTACTTTAAAATTTCTCATATGCAATCTATTAAGAAACTTGCTAATTTTATGCCCATTGCGAGAGCTCGCTTCAAAATTGGTGCAATCTTGAAAAAAATACATTACATTACATTTTCTTTACTATACTATAATTACTATACTATATTATAATTTTGTTATTGTTTACTAATACTGTGGAAATTGTGCCTTGAAATTTAAATATACTTATGGGATTTCAGCCTGTTTGCAACTGCACGATACTGCAAGCCTCAATTACAAGTATCGCAATATAGGCAGATAAGGAACTTGAGGAGACTCAAGCTTCCTTTCCTGAAATCTGAAATTCCTGTTTCAAATGTCAAGATTGGCATAGGCCCTTCAAAGCTGTGGATGCACTTAGGTTTTGCTACTGCAGTAAGCAGATAAAATTTATTATAAAATTGTTCGTTTCTCATCTTCTGTCAAAAACAATGAATTTTATACTTTCAGAAATAAAATATATCCCTTTATATTTTATATGTGTGAAAATAAAGTCAACAAATTAACAGTAACAGAAAAAGCAGTATTACCAGTATATCTATTAATATTAAAGTAATTGCATGTATCTTATTAGAAATAAAATCTGCATGATGCTAATTCTTAATAAATGTTTTCTCATATTTGTTGTTTTTTAAATATTATTAGATAAAAAACTTTTATATAACCACCATAATCTTCTTCCTTGTATCAGTTTAGCGGAGCTTCCATTGTGGGTGCTGCAATTTGGGAGTATGAACACATCAGACAAGGAACTTATAAAATACTTAATCATTATAACAACCAGTTTCGAATTAACGTATGTCTTGGTTGAAAGAACACTCAGCAGAGAGGTAATTTTCTGTATCGTATTAATGTGTATAATGATACGTTGTTTAGCGAACAGGATGGAGAGGCAAGGTGGAGAAATGGTGGAAAACATTGTCAGACGGAGAGAAAGTGTTCGTGCCTATACTTTTTCTAAACACAGTTGTATTCTTGGCTTGGCGGGTACCAGCATTGCAGAAGACTATGGTGCGCTACTTCAGCGCTAATCCTGGCTCTAGTAAGCTATATCGTTATCTTAAATCTGCAACTTTCAGCATTTTTACGAACGTTGAGTGTTGATTGGAACCAATTTTTATACAAGGTGTGTCATGTTGGCCTATGATATTCAGCGCATTTTCCCATCACAATATATTTCATCTGGCTGTAAATATGTACGTATTACACAACTTCAGCACTTTAGCCGGACAATTTTTGGGGAAGGAGCAATTTGTGGCTCTTTATCTATCGAGCGGAGTGATATCAAGCTTCGCTGCTTACCTGTATAAAACCATTTACAAAATACCATTCATGTCTTTGGGAGCGGTAAGTATCTTTTATTTATGAAACGAAAATGAGAAATAATTGTGTGATAAAATATTTGTCGTACTAATGAATTTATCGGTTTAACATTCTTCAAAGTTTCATCTTCTAATTCATTATTTTGACCTCAGTCAGGGGCTATCATGGGTATTCTCGGATGCCTCCTCTCGGAATATCCTGATGTAAAACTACGCATAGTTTTTCTTCCTATGTTCGAATTTACAGCCGGTGCAGTATGTATTATATAAACAATATTGTCACACTATTATGTGCGAAATATGCGTATTTTTCTGTAATACATATTTCTTATTTAGGGGCTCACGGCATTAATGCTCATTGACTTAACTGGTTGTCTCTTACGGTGGAAATACTTCGATCACGCGGCACATTTAGGCGGTGCATTATTTGGAATGTAAGTTGTGTAATTTAAATTAAGATCAGCAATTCTAGAAGATCCAAAAGCTTTCTTTCTTTATTTTAACAAGAATTATTTGAACAGGAATACTTGTTATTTTGTAAATTTCAACATTAGCTATACTTTGATATGTGTAACCATCTTTTTATGTTTGTTAAATGTAAATACATATGTATATAGGTATGTACATGCATTCAGAATCACTTTAAAAAATTCTAGATTCTGGCAGGTTTGGGGAATCAAAAATATTTGGCAGAAGCGGGACAGCATTTTGGCTTGGTGGCGTGAATTTCGAGAACCTCCAGGATCAGAATGATGTTTTTCTATTAAATCTATTTAAATCTAAACTCTTATTTATTGTATCATCCAATAACGTGTTCTCTACGTATCAATTGTAAACTTCCTGCTATGAACGTAAGAACAGATCTATCGCAAGCAGCATAAAAATTCCGAAATATATTATACATTTCTATTGTTTATATAGTACCTATATTTCTACATAACGAAATATAATTTTACCGTTTTTCAAAAAGACAACAACGTTATATATAAAAGTTATACAACTTCAACTTGACTTTAGAAAAGTTTCAATTCTTTAATTTTTTAATTTGTTTCTGTAAAAAATATGTAGATTGTTAATCTCAAAATCTTATTGTTTCATAAAGTAACAGTAACATCAGGCGGGTCTTAGCTTTTAAGAAATTTCATGTGATGTTTAATATGATCCTCGATAAATGTAGCTATAAAATAATAGCTATGATCGTAGCCCTCTTGAAATCTGAGAGCGAGCGCTATGCCGTTGTCCTTTGCAGCGTGTAGTAAATTCTCCGGTAACAGTTGTCCTTGTTTCAGGAACTGATCCTCCTTGCCCTGAAATCATTTTTGTAATTTTAATTTTGAAATAAAATCCGTATATGTATTTCTATATGCCGCAAGGCATAACTCAAAGGAAATCAATCAGACCTGATCGATTAAAATATCTAGAGGTGGGCCGTTGTACTTTTTTGCCAATTCCGTGGCATCCCACTCTTTCCATGCATGTTTCGCTTCTCCCAGATATCCTGAGAAAGCTTTCTTTCCCCATGGACATTCCATTGGATTACTTATGGGTGCAAATGCCGAGACTGCCTTATACTGTCCAGGATTCTTAAGAGCACATATCAAAGCACCGTGTCCTCCCATACTAAGAGTATATAAAAAAACAAAATAGAAGATTTTTTAAGATAAGCCATTTACAAAATATTCATATGAAGATTTATTTCTTCTCTCTCTCTCTCTCTTTTCTATACCTGTGGCCCATGATAGATTGCCTATCTGGCAAAGCTGGGAATTCTTTATTGATTAGAGCTGGCAATTCTTTGGTAATGTAACTGTACATTCTGTAATTCTCCTTCCATGGTTCACATGTTGCGTCCACATAGAATCCTGCGCCACTGCCAAAATCATAACTGTCATCCTCTCCAGGAATACTCAGTCCTCTTGGACTAGTATCTGGTATAACAAGCAGTACACCGTGCTGTGCAGCGTGCCTCTGAGCTCCAGCTTTTTCAGTAAAATTCGCCTCCGTACATGAGAGGCCGGATAACCAATAGACAACTGGGACAGAACCCTCCTCGGCTTGGGGTGGCAAGAAGATGGCAAATTTCATTTTGCATCCCAATTCTGTGCTATAAAGCAGGTTACAATCGTTGTTTCGAACGCATACAGAGTATTTCTCAGAGAAACGGAGCAAATGCTGACGTAAACTACAATCTGACATATCAGTGGATAATTATGTTTCTATACGGATCACGATGTTTACCTGTCATGCGAACACACTTTCTGCCATCCTCCGAAAATTTTGTTGCTCTGCACTTGCGTCAACGTAGACATTTGGAAGTTATTTGGGATTCTCGTGGCCACGCAAGTTGAAGCAGCAACGTCAGTTTACGCGACTTGATCCCAAGCAAATGGAGGAGAAATGCGATTGGCCAATTCCAATGGAATAATACTTGCGTGTGAGCCTGCACAACGTTAGCTAATATGGTGGCTCGCATGCGAGTTAACATGAAAACAAGTATCATGTGACGCGCGTCTTACCTCTTACATTTTTAATGTGCTCCCGACCTAAGTAAACAGACTAGTTGAACTGTTTACCGGTAAATTGTGCACGATTATCTTTCTCTCACAGTCAAAATTCACTCGTTACTAGTATGAAAAAGAAAAATTTTATATGGGAGAACCTCGGCCCTGAATGCCATTGTATATTGAATCAAATTTTTGGAAGGCAGCAATACGTTGTCCCGTCTCAATAATTGACAAGAGAACAAGTCTCATCTTGATGGAGAATATTTTGTAATATACTTAGGTAATATAAAAAACAACGCACTATGTACTACTTGATTTAATATATCAAAGCTTAAAGCTTAATGATAGAAGCAATGTTTCACTCTTTCTGACATGAGAAATTATCGCGTGTATTATTACATCAATTTTTCTTTTATTACGACAGAGAAATAATAAAACAAAATATGAGAAAAATCATGAAAGAGCGTGTGGATTAATTCACATCCATTCCGCAATTCTAATTATATAATTATAAAATTATCACGATTTTCTTGTGCGTGTAACAGTAGGCCGCTTCGACGTGGCGACTTTCGCATAATCGTATTTTACACTTTTCTTTGACGCACTACTTGTTGCTGAAATCAAATATAATATGCAGATTATAAATTATTATTAAAATTATTATTGAGGGCTGTGGGGAGAAATAATAACTTATAAAATGTATTATTTCAAATTAGTCAACCGTGGATTGTGCTCCTGTGATTGAAAGAAACATTCATGAAGGAGTTAAAATTAAGAACACAACATTAATCCAGATGTAATTTCATTCAGAGGAATGCATTATAATGTTAATGGGTTATTTAAATAGGAATGATAATCCAGGGTTGATGAATGAAAATTTCTTTCCACTTAAGCAGCCTCGACAGAGTAGAAATATCACGGTGATCCGAAAGATACTGTAATATGACACGTACGTTCCTCAAATTGCGGTTCTATTTTGATTACACTGCCGATGCTTTCTCTCGATGATGTGAAAACGCTTGTACGGCTGGTACTTTTGAAAGGCTGTTCCGCGGAGCCTGTGGAACTGCCGCATGAACTAACGGGCGATTTAATCGACGGGGGGAGGGACGGGGAGAAGGACGGTAACTCGATGTTTTTTGCCATCAGTAACTTCTTGACATACGCTTCGGCTTCCACGTGACGAATCGTGAATTCCGCGATGTCTTGAAGGACCAGCGCGTTCTGTTCCTGAAGTTCTCGCAGTTCGACCTCCCTCTGAGGAACATTTCAAGATGAGGTCGTTGTTGTTACAGCGTTACAACGCGGAATAAAATTACTAGCGTTACCTGTTGCAAGAGGACAATGTCGTCTTTCTTATAAAAATACAAATTTTGTATATCCTTCTGCACCTTGCGAAGGCACTTATCCGCCCTGGACATCTTCTCTTGCTGTTCCGTTACTTGTTTCTCGACACCCGATAAGAATCGCTGTTTATTCTCCTTCTCTTCTTTTGTCCTCTCGATGTCACTGAGCAGTTGAGAGTAATCGTTCTGCGTTTTCTATTCACGATAAGTTTGCATTTTTATTCCCAGATTTCTCCAACATCCCTATTTGATTTCGTTTACAACATACCACGTCTGTTTTCATATTTTCAGGCATGGGATAGTTTTGCTTTTTTTATTTGTAGATGAAAGCTTAAAAATAAAGTCACAGTTCACACTTTATGAACATTGTACCATCCGGGTCATTGTTACTATCTATTTTCTTTAAATCTTTCGTTTCGTCTTTAAAAAAAGCTGGTTACTGAACATCATTTCTTGTGATCGTTTTTTTTTCTTTGAAAGGACTCAAGAATAGAAAACGTGAGGAAAGTGAATTTCTTTCTTAAAAATGAGAAAAAGTAGAACGTTCCTGAAAAAAAAAGAAAAACTGAGAGAACTGAGATTCGCTTCAGCTCTTTTTCTCTCGCGAATTTCTCGTTTTACTCTTTCTCTACCTTCATCCAGCGTGTCTATCGTACGTTCTTCGTTCTTTCGAAAGTAACGGATTTAGATACTAATACATGCGTGAGAGATGACCTGCAATTCATCGAACAATCGTTGCAGCTGCGACTGCCTCTGGCATTGCTTCTGCCGCGCCTCGCGCAGCTGCTCGTCGAGCCTCTTCTGTTCCGTCTGCTCCGGCCCGTCCTGGTCGACCGCGCTCAAGCTGTCCTTGTACTTGTCGTTGCACACGTTCACCACGCGCAACGTGTCCTCCATGCTGCGTATCTCCTGTTCGGTTCGCCTGATGCTCTCGTCGAGCTTGTCGCCCTGTTCCCGCAACAGATACCGCTCCTGGGCGCTTTGTATCTTTAGATACGCGGTGCTCATCGGCGCCCCGTCCGGTGTGGCACCGGACGCCGCGAGGCTGGTGTCGTATCGCGTTTGCAACTGCCGCGTCCTGCCTCTTCTCTCCGCGATGGCGACGCGCAGCTCTGAGCACTCGTTACTGGCGATCCTCTTCTGCACGGTGAGCGCTTCCTTCTGCGCCGAGATCTCCGCTGCGCGCTCCTTGAGCGCCTACGAAGAAACGTGAATCAATATTCAAGCCCTGATCTGACGATTTACTGATTATTATGTTCAAAAATTCGATCTCGGACTTCAACAAGATCCTTCATCGTTAAATTCAGGGTGACTTTCTTTTTCTTTTTTTTAATTTATTCGAATTGATCGAGCAACGATGTTATGTTACTAGAAGGTAGCTCACCGCTTCGAGATGAAGACGATATTTCTCCAGATTGTACACCTTGTCGTTCACATTCGACGTCATCTGCTCGAGCTGCGACACCCTGAGGCGCATTATGCTCTCCTCCACTTGTCTCCCCTCATTCCGGGACTGCGCGGCCTTCAGCCGCTTCTCGCCTCCGTCCAACAACAGCAATAGGTCTTGCTTTTTGCTCCTCAGCCGCTCGATCTCATCGTTTTTGCTTGTCAAGCTGTTGGTTATTATCCTCATGTCGTGCTGGAAGAATACTTAACTAAATCACACTCAACCGAGTGCTTCCCTCAGTCGTGCACCTTGATTATATTTTTCAAAGGTGGATTTTTGGCCGACTGAATTTTGCTCGTACGTTATGAATCTAAGAAGTGATTAACCACCTCCAAAGTGGCGATCTGGTTTTGCAGCAGCTTGGACGCGGCCGTCTTCTCGCCCAGTGCAACCTGCAGCTCTTCGATCCTCTTCTGCTTCTTCTCGGCTTCGCTCTTGTCGTGCTCGAGGCCCCTGATTCGCTCGAGCTTCATCTCGCACTTCTGCAGATTAAAATCCACATGGTAGAGCAGCTCCTTCTTGTCCTCCAGAACCTTTCTCTCTTTCGCTAATAAGCCGGCGAGCAGATCGATCTTCTTCTGTTCGTTCTGCATTTGCATTTGTAGAGTTTTTCTCTCGTGGCCCAGCTCTATAATTTTATTCGTGGTACGCAAAACCATGGTTTGCAGCTGTTTTGATTCTTTGGTGATCGTGGCTTTCCGTTTCTCGTTATGCTGAAAGTGAAAAATGGACTCGTAATATAAATAGTTCCATTTTAACGGAAGTTAATGTGATGTTATCGAAAAGTAGATATTTTATGTTAGTAAATATTTCACACTTTATATTGAAAAATATTACGAAATAGGATGCACTTTGTACAATAATAAATAAAATTAGATAAATAATAAGAGAAAATAAGTAAGTAAGTAAATAAATAAATAAATAAATAAATAAATAAATAAATAAATAAAATCATCACCCCTCAGAATCAGTTTTATTATTCTGGATTCGATCTTTGAGATCGACCTATTTATCTTACAGTTTTAGACTTGCACGAAAGAGATATACTTCAATCATCTTTTCCAATCGTTTCGTCCTTTCCTCGACGTTCAATTTTTGGCCTTCGATTTCTTCTAACGTTGATGTTAGATCTTCGATCCGCTTTTTGCAACTGTCCACCTTTGCGCGTTTATCATCCATTTCGATTTTCTTGCTTTTCGTATTGGCACGAACTTGTTGCACGCGACGTGCGAGATCTGCTACTAACTTCTTCTGATGGTAGACCTATTTCGATCATTAACGATAAGCAATTTGTTTCATAAAATTACGAAGATATATCCACACATAAATAATTAGGAGAAGAGGGGAGAGCAGTTGTATATATTTAAGTTACCTCGACGTTGTAACCACCGATCATCTCCGTGATTTTACGTTGTTTGTTTCGAATCGCAGCAAGTTCCTTTTCCGATTGCTTGATTGATTCCTCCAGCTGCCTATTGTTTACAATTTGATCTTGCAAAAACTGTCCCGTTTCTTCGAAGTCTTTCTTCTTCTCCTTATCGATCTCCCGCAACGTCTCGATTTCCTGCAAACAATTAGCCGCGAGTACAGAGTAATCGCAGCATCACAGAGGCGGGATATTAGTTCTCAATAATCTCACCTTCAGGCAATTCTGTATGTCGTTGTCCCTCTGTCGCAAAACGTTCACGCTTTGCGTCCACTGATTTATCATCTGCCTGCGCTCCTTCAACGCCTCCATGTACAATTTTGCCGTGCGATCTAGAACGAGCTCCAATTCCTGCGCCTCGTCAACGGCTTTGACGATAGCTTGACGATAAGTCTCAAGTTCTGTACCGAGCTTCTGCCGTTGCTGTTCCAATTCCTAAAGATCCAATTTTTCTCCCCTCATACAGGACGTTTTGCAACCAAGTTGGGTATAATTTCATAAATGAATTCAGGACACAAAAATAACACGAAAAAGTTCGCATTAATACGAAAATGTCCGTAACACGGGAACAAGGCCAGATGGACAAATGTTTGTATGAACTTTTTCTGTTATTTTTGTGACAGGGATTAATTTCTGAAAATATGCTCACATGTTATGAAACGCTCTGTACATTGTGTCACACGTAAAGATAATTATTTGTCGATTATTGATAACAGATATGCACTTTGATTATTCTTATACCTTATATTTTTGCGCATCCTGCTTCATGTAGTTCTCTATCAGCTGATTGTCCTCTTCTTTACGTGCGAGTGTTTCCTCCCACTTGCATAGACTATTCTCGTCGAAGTGGACCATTTGCTTGGTCTCAGTCAGCTTCTTTTCCACCCTCAGCAGCTCCTTCTCCACGTTTGATACTCTGCGATTCACGTCTGTCCATTCTTTTTCAAATTCGCGCGCTTCCTGGCGCAACGACGACTCCAAGTTGCCGCTCAACCGGTAGAGGTGATCCTCTGCCTCCAACTGGATCAAATGTTCATTGAGCAACTTCTGGTTGAATTCGTGACGCGACGCAACGTCGTTGGCATGCTTTCTCATCATCTTCAGCCGCTCCTCCAGGCTCTCTAGTTTTGTGCTCAGCGATATCCTGCATTCCGTTTTCCTAACAATCTAAAATAACAAGAAATGGTCACTAGTTTGAACTATGTAAGTGATGATCTTTTTTAAATTAATTTTTTAAATAATTTTAAATTAACTCACAGTATTGAAACTTAATTTAACTTAGCGTTACATAATTGCTTTTTATATTTATTTTAAACTATCTCTTCACAATAATTATGCAAACTGAAAACATTTTTGAGAAAAATTTACTCGTTGATAACGATTACTTTATTGTTATCCCCAAAGTTGGATAATTTATATTTTTAATAAAGTTAAAAATTAACAGCCTATAAAATTAACCTAGATAAGTTTCAAATTACCTAAACCAAAATTAACTTAATTAAAAGTTAAATTAATATTGAATCAACTTGTTAAAGTTAATTATGCAAAATGTATGTACATATATAAATGTTTTTTTGTATAATCAATTGTTTAATCATAGATTAAATTTATGCTCAATAAAGGAAATGTAATCTATTATAAAAAATACCAACTGTGTCTAGTACTAAGAATTATATACCATTTATACAAAAAAGTTAATAAGTGAAGATTGATGTATTTTAAGTTAAACTTAAATTAAATAAAGTTAAAAGTTATTAACTGCTTCTTAAAGTGCTTCTAAAAGTGGCTTAGGAACCATCCAATTAACTAAGAAGCTACATTTAAAGCACTTTTATCGATAAAAATTTCAAAATATAGACTAAAGTATTCGGATACGAGTTGATATCAAAGAAAAAGAAAGACAACGAGAACTAATGATGTCTGGGCGTCTTTACTTCTTCCTCCAAACATTTGTTCTCCTCATTAGCTACAGGAATGCGAAAGCCGTCCTGCCAGCCGAGTTGATTTAGAATCACGTCCACGTCAGTCGTCATCGCGATTCTGTGTTGCAAAATTAATCGCAACAATGCGGCGTAACAATGCGGCGCCGGCCGAGCCACGCGAGACGCGGCGAAGTTTGTATTTAGACGTCACTATGGTAACCGACAGTCCTACCAATAGGCGGATAAAGATCCTTGTACGTAACAAATTTCTCGTAACTTTGAATCTGCCTTCTATTGTTGCACTGGCTGCACTAGTTCTCTTTTCATCTCTTCCTCACCGAATCTCAGGAAAGACAAGAAAAGAGAAACTAGTGCAGCCAGTGCAGCAATAGAAAGCAGAGACCCTTTCACCCGCAAGAAAATCGACCAATCACAGTCCATTATTCTTCGACCGCTAGGGGAATTATCAACCAAGAGATAATTGGTCAATTTTCTTACGAATTTACAGTTAGTCCGGATCTACGATAGGTGTGGTAAATTTTAAGCCGTAAGAAATTGACCAATCACAATTGATTATTCTTCCACAATTCGACTGTGATTGGTAAATTCCTTAAAACCTACAGAATACGGACACTGGGCTGCGTTCAGAAATCCTACTCAACGAGCTTGAGATCGACCAATCATCTTAAAGAAATTTTCGCTCCTTTTGTCCTGATTGGTCAATTAAATATCACTGTCGAGGATAGTTTCAGAACGCAGCCCTGGTGATTTTCGCGGAGCAGCAGCGCAATTCCGCTCGCGTTAGCCGCCCCTCTAGGTGCTCTCGCGGCGGCCGCGACTTGCGCGACTTCACTTCGATGGCAACAAAGATGGTGGGCCCAGTGCGTGCATCGGGTGTGTGTCTCCGCTGAGGCGCGTTGACGTCCGCGACGAACGTCGTACGGCCCGGACGGCGGGCAGCAGCAACAACAGCAGCAGCGGCAGCGAGCAGTGAGTGAGCGAACGAGTGAGTGTGCGAGCGTGATCACGCGTGTTGTGTGTCGCGCGTTGCGTGCGTGCGTGCGTGTGAACGAGCGACAGCGAGCGAGTGTACGTCCGTCTGTCCGCGAATAAGTTCGTTCCTGCTCGCCCGCCTGTGCGTGAGCGCGGGGGCCGCGTTTCCGAGTGCGACGAAATATGTCCGAGGCTCCGGAAGCATGAGCGAGGGAGCAGACTCGGTTGCGCAAACCTGCGGGGATTCGCTCACGACCTTGGCAATCGAGGGCGAGCGGGATGGAACGACGAGCGCGACGGCGTCGCAGCCACCGACCACAACGATGTACACCGGTAGGAGGCCGCGCTGCGGCACCAGTGGTCCACCACCGTCGCCCTACATGTGGATCGACGGCCGGCAGCTGCGGAGCGCCTTGGTCTGGGCCAAGAAACCGTCCGAAGCTGGTGACCCGCCCCGACGAGTCAGCTTCCCCCTGAGCGACAATCACCTGGTAACGGGCTACTTGGAGCCTGCCAATCCCTGGCGACACGGTGAGTACCGTATAGCTGTGCTGTCTGTACTGAATATCATCGTGCCAGTGCACTTTGAGAGATAAGCTTTGAAGTACTCGGGACTGAATAGCTCTGGCTAGGCTCTATTTGAAGGTCTCTGCGAAGGAAGGAGAGTCTCTGAATCCGGGGATCTATTGTGACAGCTTGATGATTTGGCACAGAATCCTTGGAGACGACTGGCTCTCAGTATTCTTATGACATTATCAGAGCATTAACGATGCTTGTTTCCGAAAATTTCAAGAAGATCTCATTAATATTATAAACACTTCATTTTCATGGAAAATCACAGATCAATATGATTCTATGTAGAAGCTGCAATTTTTCTTTTAATTCACGGACAGAAGTGGAAATTTAATGTGATGTAACTTAATGAAAATTTAGGACTGACATTTTTATATGCGTGGAATGGTATTACCTATCGAATACATCTTTCCAGTCTTATTTTCTCAGTATTATATTCTATAATATAGCGTCATGTCTTATCTGTTTCTCAATGCAGTTATATTTCGCTGTCACTATGCTATTAGGTTTTTTATAGACAGTCCCAAGTGAGGGATTTCGCAATGCGAACCATGTACTAATTATAAGTTTGACGTGATGTTAAAGTATCTCTATCTATCTAGTACAACATATAACGAAGCCGTAGCGATTATTCCTCTTCCCCGACTTGATAATCGTACGAAGTCTGATAAAATCGTAGAATCACGGATCGTTCTTCAATTTTCGGCCACGTGCGTCCCCCGTCTCTTGTGGGAAGACGTTTGTAGAAAAAGAAAAAAAAAATCGGTGCTCGCGACCCGGTCTGCGTGTATTAAGAAGTGAAATCATTGTCCCCAGCTGAGAATGTGAGTCGTGAGGATTTAATATTCGCATACAAGGAGTCCTGCGCACGTCACAGCACCGAACCCCTACAGAGCGTTTTAGCTCAGCTCGAGGTAAATATGTCTCCGTTTCTTCGTTACTCCTACACTTCTACGTATAATTCTTAATAGCTATTCTTTCCGACATAAAACACAAGCGATGTTAATGAATTCAGGTGTGAGCATGTTGCAACAAAGTAATGATTTCACACAAGGACCAAATTTGTATGTATACGGAAGTATCGAGCTTGTTCACTTAAACGAAAAGCAGCTGTTATGGAAACGTGAAGTTTCGTTTTCCCTTTTTTTTTTTTACTCTTGTCACGGCATTTTGGACACCGCTACCAGTTCTAGCAATTCTAGCGTTCTAGCGAGATTCTCTTGTCAGAGATTGTACATTGGGCCTTAATAGTGCATGGACATAGCTCCGCTGCTTTCAAGATTACGGCATTTCACAAGTTTTCCTCAAACTTCGACTCCAATCCGCGGCCAATCTCACGGGGAGGGGAGGGGGAGAAAGTCTCGCTTTGTCTCTGTACGCCTCTGTTCTTGTTACATAGAATCTGGATATATCTCACGATCGTTGTGAGGAGCTGAACTTGGAAGGGGAAACCTTGGATCAGGGTCATTGCGAGCCATTGGAAGAAATACTGAAGAGAGTACAATTTAACAGAATTAATTTAGAAGGGACATCTTTAACCGACGAGGTGGGTTCCATCGAAAATTATCTTGCCGGATATCTTCCTCCTCGCGAATTGTTATTATTAAGTGTATGATTTAACACAACAGCGTGCGCAACTAATCGCGTACTAATGGACGGTTATTATTATTATTATTACAGAGCTCCATAATATTATTTGATATGCTGGAATATTATGAGTCCACGAAACACTTAAATATCTCGTCTAATCCGAACATCGGGCCACGCGGCTGGCAAGCGTGCTCGCATATGATTAAGAAGGTACCCTGTGCACTCAGTCTTAAACGAGAGAAAACCCACCGTTAAACCGCCTCACATGCCACATATCGATATTAGCTTTTTTTTCTTCTCTCTTTTTTTTTATTTTTATCTTCGCTTGCACACACAATCTATTTAAATACCGTCTAGTATGTCTAGCACATAGGAGATAGAGAGAGATATTATCATCACACATTGTTACGTCTGAAGCAAATCGCCGAGAGAGTGTAATTAACGCAGTCTCATTTGTTTAGACTCAGTGTTTAGAGCAGCTCGAAGCGAGGGATGTAACGCTTAACGAACAGTACATGAACATTTTGAACCGTGCATTGCGATTAGTCTGCCATCTGCATGTCCTTAAATTGGAAAATTGTGGACTGTCGGGCAGAGCAATCGTCATACTTGGTATTTATTATATAACAATACTCTTCTGTGCACTTAGAATAGTCGTAATGTCATCGATAATTCTCACTTGTGTCGTGTTCTAGTGATTTATTAATTGTAACAATATTTGCTGGGCATTTAGAATATTCGTGTGAATAAAATAATTGTGTACGTTGAAGCGCGTCGATGTTATGGAAAGTAAAAACATAAAAGCATTTTTTTCTTTTTCTTTATATATATATTATATATTATAAATATATATATATATATTTATTTATTTATTTATTTATATATAAAGGTTTATACGGATTATGATTAATAATCCGTATAAATCCCTCTCTCGGAACAATCTGTATATCCTCGTTTTTGTAACAGTTACAGCTCTAAAAATGAATAGCGGTATACGGGAACTATATTTAGCCGATAACGGGCTCGACCTGTACGACGCTATACAGCTCGGATCTCTCTTAAGAATGAACAATCACCTGCAACTGCTCGATATCAGGTATGCATTATTCGACAATTACAAATGAATGTGATTGGAGAAGCGTTTTCCTTCTCTCGTATTTTCCGACTTGTCCCGATCCGTGGATTCCCGCGCGTGAAGTTTCGAGTTTTCTTCGGAATTTGATAGAAATCACGATAGAGCAGTTTAGATGCACAACAACTCGGGCTGATTTTTCCGGCGCGTTCAGGTTTTGTACAGGTTGCGTTAAGTGTTTGCGTTTGTTTCACACCTGCGTGAAGCATGCGCTTATTTAAGCGAGCGAACTGTGTTAGCGCAGATTTTCTTCTTGGAAATGTTCTTTCCTTAGTAATAATAACGTCCAGGACGACGGTGTACGGGATATATTGGAGGGCCTGATTAATCAAGTGAACGAGGACAAAACCGGCAAGGGACTTAGTATCCTGATACTCTGGAATAATCGTCTAACTAAGAAATCGTCACCTTACTTTTCAAGAATTATAGTATGTATATTATACAGGTATCTTGCAGAAATCCATATCCGTGCTTTCCCCTCGAATCCGCGATGTCACGTTGTCATCGTTCTCACGATTCGTATAAATTTATTACATATCGTCCCGCGCGTGCGACGGTAGTCTGTCTTACCAATGGACCTTATCTTAACGATGTTATACATTTTTGCAGTTGTTTCGTTATATCATTTTCTCCCTCTTACGTACTTTTGCTTGTATACACATTGCACCATTATTAATAGATAAATTAACACGGTTGGAGAGTAACAGATGGGGGCAATTAAAATTGACGCACACGCACATACACACACACGCACGCACGCACACACACACAAACATTGTGGGAATCTCGAGCTATCTTAAGTCTGCAACGATTAAGAGAGAGAGAGAGAGAGAGAGAGTACAAGTAAAGAAATAAAAGATGTGCTATTTGTAGCGTAACGCGTTTGCTGCTCTATCACGTCCGCGATAATTGTGTTCAGGCATTGTCGAAAACATTGGAGACCCTGAATATTGGTCAGAACATGCTGACGGACGAGGTATTGAGCATCGTGAACGATTCGCTGAAGAATAACCGTGTTCTCTTGCAATTGGGCATGCAATCAACGGAGCTCACGTGCGACGGGATAGTCACGCTCGCCGAGATAATGGAAACGAATCAGGTCCTGCAGGTGAGGCAGCTCTCTCGCTCGTATCTCCGCTCGTATATACGACTCGCTACGGTTCCTATCTATGCTCTACACATGCCTTTCGCTCTCGCAGAGGATAGATTTACGGGACAACAGCATACAGATGCGCGGGATGCACGCTTTAGTCAACGTGATGAAGAGCAACAAGAGCATCACGCAGATCGATCTGGACGACAAACCGCGGATAAGAATAGTGAGTGCCGTCGCTTGTCGCGCGCGCGACGAGAGCTTCGCCCGCTCGTAAAACCCGCTTTCGACCTGGGGAAGTATTCACGGTCCGTTATTATTGTTACCTTCAAGATCATCTAAAGTTCATCTCGAGATGCCACGTGGCCGATGAAACGGATCTGTGACAGCGTCTGAAGATGAATCTGAAGATGAACCGAACGAAACAGTATCGAGGCCTAGGGTGTTTACGCGCAGATAATGTAAACTATAACACGTCATCTGTGTAGACAATAAGTAATCTACGAGCTGTCACGGAACGGCTCGTCTTCTTTTTGGATCCACGATATTTGCAAGCTTTCAGTCTTCTTTTCTGATCGATGAAATGTAATGTAATTCTTGACAAAAGGCGTTTCCTGCGCTGCCGAAAGTCGCATTAACGCTCGATCAACTTGACTGGAAAGCTGAATTTCGCAAAAGTGCTTAAGCCGGCGGAAAATGAATTTTTACAAGTTAAGCAATGTCATTGTTAGAGTTTCGTGTTACTGTTTACGAAGTCACAATTTTTCCAACTCAAAAGGGTGGACCCAATATATGGCGACTGAAATTATAATTTTGTTTTTCATCAGAATAAAACTGGACATCCGTAAATTCCATACATATAACGTATTTTTGAGTTGTTATAGTTGCGAATTAATAATCAAAAGTGCTACTTTAAAAATGGTGCCTCTCCAATATGGAACTCATAAACGTTATTTTGTTTAATTATAGTAAAACTCTGTAAATTTAAAAAAGTTACTTTCGTACATTAGTTGGTGATTATTTATGTAGATATTATTAATGTTACGTTACAATCTAGTGGTCAGAGCAAAAGGCTAAAGGCTTACTATATCTGTTGTGAATCCAGACTTACATTTCGTAAGTCTCATTTTTATATTTTTATTTTTATATTTTGTTTCTGTTGCGAATATTCACAGGTAAACCTGAATAATAACATTTGTGTATTAACAGCATGAATACACCTTTCATATATCATTATATAGATATTTTAAATATGCTTACAGTGAATTATGTTTAACTTGATCTAATATAACCTAATATAACCTAATAAAAATTTATAAAATTTGTTCAAACATAACGGCACAATTGTGGTATCTTACGATGCCACGAGAAATCAATAATGGATTTGGCGAGCTTGATTTCACGCTGAAGAAAAAGGGAGAGAGGAAAGTACTGTGGACGTTGTACCTGTGGTAATCGCGAACATAAAGGAACACTGCCTTTTTCCGTTTGAAAGTCCACAGGTGAATTTAAACGATAACATTTCTGTGTCACCTGCATGTATACGTATCAGCCTTTCAATATTTATCATATTAAATATCTTCTCACACAATTAACATAAAAATCGGATACGTGGACTGTTTTATAGTTGAAATTATTTATATTCCTATTATTTATATTACATTTAGCTTACTTTATAGCTTAAATTAATTTAGATTGATAACTTATCCTTTCCCTTTGCATCGTGCTGTGCAATTTATAATACTTCATATAGTTTGCATTGTCTACATGAAGGGAAGTCCGTTTAAACATCATGCGAACAATTACGCCGATATGAACGTAAATTATCCATGTATAATCTCGAGATGTCTACGGCGCGACCCTGAGTCGAGGTTGTCAGACAGCTCCGGTAACGCCTGAGTCTGAAAGATGAACTCGGAACGGATCCGAGACGTAAGATCGGACTTTGAATACCCTCCCGGTTAGAAGTCCGCTCGGCGAGATCGCGGCGACTAATCGACTCCTTTCTGCCCAAGGACGGCGCCTTGCATCAGTACATCGAGCTGGTGTCGGAGATACGCGGCTACTGCGGCCAGAACGGGGAGCGCCGGCTGCTGGAGGAATCCGCCGAGGACACCGAGAGCCCGCAGCACCCGAGCCGGCTGTTGAACGCGAGCTCCCGTAAGATCTCGCTTACCTGTCAGACACTGCCATGCCCATCGCGACCGGCGGCGGCGTCGTTGGTCGAGGAGACGGCGGCGCGCAGCATGCTGGAGCCGAAGCGCACCAGCGGTGGCCGCCTGCGTTCCCCGGCTCCCAGTCCCATCCCTTCCCCGGTGGCGAGTCCGATCCCCAGTCCGTCCCGCAACCGCTTCGTCGTCTGCCGGGTACCGGAGGCGTCGCTGCGCTCCACCGACTCCTCGGCCTCCTCCTCGCCGGTCACCCCACCGTCGCTCGGCTCCTCTCCCACCGGTCTCTTCGTCGGCGGCAGCCCCGGGCCGTCGCGGTTCCGCGTCTCGGTGGTCGAGCCGGTGAGCGCGCCCAGGTCGGTCGTCACCTCGCCCAGCGGCAACGTCACCATCGGCTTTAACTTCAGGGTGTCGGCCGACTCCGGCGACGCCGGTCGCGGGACCAGGACCGACGTGGCGGCAGTCTCGGCGGCGAAGGAGACTACCTCGTCCTGTGAGAGCGTTGCGAAGCGCGAAGGCCCGCGTCTCGACGTTGCGCGGTCGCGTGGACGCGACGACGAGGAGGAGAAGGAGGAGGGGGAAGCGCGGAGCGAAGGCGTCGGAGATCCCCGCCACGGCGAGACCACCGCGGGTCGGGGCCGCTACGTTGGAACGGATCTCAAGAGCGTCACGACGGCCTGCGCGGACCGCCGTCGTATCGTGTATACGAGTACAAAGGAGCTACAGGTACCTGCATATCCGAGCGAAGGCACCTCTTCGCCGAGGATTAGCGTAGTGGAGGAGGAGGACGGGGGTGGAGCGTCGACCGGCTCGCTCGAGGCGAGGCCGGCGGGAGTCCCGATCCGCACCGCCGACTCGCAACCGCAGGAACGGGCGAGCACGTCGTCGGTGCAGAGGCACAAGTCCAGCCTGGAGAAGCTGCTGTCGCTGTTCCAGTACCCCGGCAGCCTCTTCTCGGACTCGTCGAGCGCCGCCGCCGCGGACAGCAGCAGCGGCAGGACAACAGCAGCCTCCCTGCAGGAGAACGTGAGCGGCGTGATGGCATTGGGCGACAAATTGCAGCAGTACCTGAAAGAAGGCCGAGCCAAAGTTAGCACGGACGGCTCGTCGTGGTCGTCCGCGGAGCAACACGGGTCCCCCTTGAGGAGCAGGTCGATTAGGTTAAACGTGACGCAGCTGCAGAGCCTGACAGGTATATTTGCGTCGTTCAAGCTCGACCCGCACGCGACCCTCGTCGAGCAGAGCGCGAGGCTCTTCGGCCAGCCGAAGAGCCAGCCGGCGAATGTCGACGAGAGGGCGCCGGAGGCCGTGCCGAACGAACAGCAGCGGGAGAGTTTCGTCGGCGGCCAAGAGAAAAGTCAGCTTGCCCGAGAGACCGGTGAGATTCTCGAGGGTACTCCCTTCGATCGCGATGACGATGAGAATCCAGCCGTGAGGAGGAGGGCGAAGGATTCGATGGAGGATCGGGAGAAGAATCGTCGGGAAGACGAGCGGGACTTGTTCGGTCGCCACGACCGCGTAGGGGATCGGGTTGCGCGAAACGACGACGACGGCAGTAATTCGATGGCCGATCATCGGGCGAAGAATCAAATTACGAGGGACGCCGGGAGCAATTTATTCGGTCAGAATCGGATTACGAGGGAGGAGGGTCTCTTTCTCGGCCGGGGGAAGAGTCAGGTTGCGGGGAACGACATGCAGAAGCCAGTCGATGATCGGGTTGCGAGGGTCGGCCGGGGGAACACGACGTCGGTGGATCGGGAGAGGAACGAAGTCTCGAATAACGGGGATAATTTATTCGGTCTGGTGAGGGATCAGATTTCGCGGAACGACCGGCAGGATCCGGAGGGGGCGGGGAAAAACCGGCTCGCCGGCAACGTGGAAGAGGAGGACCTCGATGCACAGGGGAAGAATCCGCTCGTCGATGGTAGCGAGGAGGTGACCGTGGAAGACGACGACGGGGCCCCGGAAGATCGGGGGAGAAGCGGGGATTCCACGAGGGACGAATTCCGGGAGGACTACTCGCGCGGCGTGTGTGAATCACGATGGACCGACCGGGGTGATCGACCGTTACCTGAAAGTGTGCAATCAAAGGACGATTTTGCCGATAAAGATTTAGTATTAGAAAGCGGGTGCGTCGCGACGGCAAACGCGATGCAATCGTCGTCGTCGTCATCGTCGTTATCATCATTATCGTCGTCGTCGTCGTCGAGCAAATTCACCGCGTGCGTAGCTGTAAAGTTAACGGACATACCTGAATACTCTGTTTTAGAATTAAGTCGGGCCGACAGCGGGGAGTGCGATGACGCGAGGCGTCCCTTACGTAGCGACGACGACGACGACGACGAGGGCGGTGATTCAGAGTGCGTGGAGCGTGACGACGCCGAGGAACGCCCAACGCAGGTCGCGAACCCTCGGCGTCGGGGACGCGACGTGGTCACCGGAGCTAACGACGCGAAGTGCTCGGAACGTGACGACGACGACGAAGCGGCTGGGGGCGCGCGCGCCGCGACGGAGCCGAGGACATGTGATACAACCACGACGGACAGTATTAATCAGACTAGTGATAGTAGTTTTCCGATTTGTAACATAGCGCGCGATAGGGAAGTCGTAGATAGCTTAAGTACCGCGCCGACGGCGAGCGTCGCGCCGGACGACGTCGGCGGGACGACGTTTGCACCGGGAGGCGACCAAGGGACGTCGGGGCCGAGGGACGCCGACGGTTTTGACTCAAACGACCAAGTTACCAGTGGCACGCGCCGCGTCGCTGACCAGGATCACCGGTGCGACTTCACGGGGGCGAGAGGAGAGGGGGAGCAACGAGAGCCACAGCGGCAGGATCACGCGGAAGTCCCCGACGACGACGCTTGCCGCGACTCCGCTCATTGCAGAAGTACAAGTGTAAATATTAATAAGCTAGAATCTTCGACGAAGAATACAAGTCCTGTCGCGGTGAGCGAGGACGGTGAGGCGCCACCTCCGTCGGAGAGGCTCCGCCATCAGTCGTCCGTGCCAAATAACGTCGACGTACATCGAAGTATCCTTAAGGACGCGGCGGGGGGCCCACCGGAAGCCGACAGGCGACGCAGCGATCCGACCATCCTCATCGTACCACCGTACGAGGAGGCGTCCTGCGCCAACCTGGACAAGTCGTCCGACGTGGACGAGCTGATCTTCTGCATGACCGACATCTCCACGGACGGCACATCCGTGGAGGACGAGCTGTCGCCGGGCGTGACGTCTAGATGCTCGCTGAACGCCAAGGTGGCCAACTCGAGCTACTTCGAGCTGCCGATCACCACGGCCACCTCGACGACGACGAGCACGCTGCTGATCGGGCATCCGGAGGGTCTGCACAGGAACAGTCAGGACTCGGGCATCGACGAGACCGCGATGACGATCGACGACTCAGTCGCAGCGGACGCCCATCCGCTGCCGCCGGCGCGCAGCAGCCTCCAGGAGAGCGTGGACTCCGGGATCGAGTCGGAGTGCTCGTCGATCTGCATCAGGGTGGACTGCGCCGCCGTCGAGCGGACGTTGGAGGTGAACTCCTCCAAGAGACCGGCGCGCAACGACAACAACGGCGCTCGTGAGGACGGCGGGGTGGCCGACGACGAGGACGACGACGGTGAAGGTGGCGGCGCCGCCGGCGAGGAGGAGGATGACGATGACAACGACGACGACGATGACGACGACGACGACGACGATGATGACGGGGACGTCGACTTTGGGGAGTTCGCGTCGGGTTTCCTCGCGAAGGAGGCGCGGCTAGTAGATAACGATAGCGTGAGCGGCATCGCGTGCTCGTACCTCAACAGCATCAAGTGCGCGGTCGTCAGCGCGGCTCGGCCGGGCGCCGGGATGGCGAACAGCGGCGCGCTGGGAGTCGTCGTCGCCGACGAAGGCGTCGTCCGTCCTTCGGCAGCGCCGGTGATCGCACACTCGCCCGCAGCCGTGCACGGCACCAGGTGAGTACACTAGGTGCGACTGGGTGCTTCTTCTTCTTCTTCTTCCTTCTCTTCTTCTTCGGCTTGGGAATTTCCCACAAACGATCCTAGAATGCGTCCATGCTGCTCGTCCTGGCGCCGGTCGTCTTGAGCGCAAAGTCCTCTGTGTGTCCTCCCGAGACGAGCCCGGCCATCCAGGATTGCTCGATTGCCACGTGAACAAGCTTCATAAAGTCACCATTGGCCACTGTGTTGGTGTGTGTGTGTGTGTGTGTGTGTGTGTGTGTGTGTGTGTGTGTGTGTGTATCTGACGAGAACATCGTGCAATCTAGGAGTTAACGTGACACGTGCGGCTGACGAGAGGAATGTTTCTTTCGTTGTCGCTCGTGCCCCCCTCTGTTGTTTCGCTTTTCGCTAGAGTTCAACTTGCACGCGCAATCGGCTTTGCTATTGTCGTTGTCACTGTCGAACGCTGGGAACGTGCGGTTTTGCAGGAGAAAACGTGGACGCCTCGAAGAGCTTGTGTTTTGCTTATTGTGCGAAAAATCGAACGGTGACGATGATAAGGTGCAATCGCCAGCGTAGGAAGTGCGGTGGTAATTATTATCTCGCCAGGTTCCACAACGAGACGCTCGAATCGCGCTCCCAACGTCTGCGAAGGCTCACGTTTTGTCGTCGTGGAGTATTCCTACGAAGTCTTCGACGCAACGTTTTACTTTGCCCTGCCGGTTCTTTCTTTGCAAGCTTCTTCCTCGCTGAATCGAGCCTCAACCTCTCCTCTTCTCGACAAGCACAGTAACGTCTATGCCTTGTTAATACATTAAAGCGCCAGGTGTTCTGTCTTCACGCTTTAACGTGTAACTCAATTCACCTCGGGCGAAATAACATTTCCTTGTTTTTTCCCCCCATGCTCACTAACATTCTCCGTAACAAAGCACTCGGGTACGTTTCAACATTTTAAGGGAAATTGGCGGTGGTTGGAATTTCAACGTCAGCACTACCATCCAATCATTTTAAGTCACTTTTTGCCACTTTTTCTTGACAAGTCGATACAAAAATTCGCTGTCGTCCAAAATGATTAATTATAATGACTTTTTTCCTGAGCTGCTGTTAAATTTGTAAAATATTAGCGCTATATATATTTGCCGCCTCTCTTAATAAAACTGCTCCGAAAGCGTACTTACTTTTAATCGTTCATGTCTTTGATCTTTCCCTGTTATAAACTTTCAAACTGTATTATGAAAAGAACTCACTATATGTTATCTGAAGGTAAACCTAGGAAGATAAGAGTGTTACTATTTTGCTTAAGTAATTTTGCTTGGTTATTCTCAGAATTTGACAAAATTAGTCACTCTTTCGATGTCTGAGAGGTCAATTTTGCGCTTCTTTTTTTTTGCCAAGAAGCATCACGTAGATATTTTTTTTGTGCACACCAACATTGGCGTGTCGGCTTTCATTTGCCCACTTATCCTTAATTGTGTGATTGCTTATTTTTTTTATTTTTAATCAAAAGAAAACGATAGGTATGTAGTCAGACTCTGGTGTTAGATTTAACCAAATTTAGAGATAAGAGTATTTACATATAAAAAACACCAGCGTCTGACTCTTACTTATCTATCGTTCTCTTTTGATTGTATATTTTAAAAGCCGTTATATATTATGCTTATTTTAAATTCAATTGAATTATAACTGCACCAGGGTTGGCAAAATTCTAGGTTTTTCTGATACAGTCCATACCAGTGATAAGAACCGATATTTTTCGAAAAAAATCCAGCAAAAAGTGGTCTTTTTTATTTATATAAGGGCATTAAAATAAATAAGTCCTTTTCATCGATATTCTAATTTATAAGCAGCCTGCGATGCCTTATTCAACACAATGTTTAAAATCTAGACATAAGACGTTTTAAAAATATCCTGAAGACGTCTTCAGGACATTTTTATCATTTATTTATTAAAATAAAAATGTCACTTTGCATAAAGTTATAGATAAATATATTTCAATATTATTACCTATTAGTCTTTTTATAGTTTTTGCCAATTTATTCCATCGGATAAAATTCGAGACAGAAGCCGGCGTATACCATGGTTTCTTCCACCTACTGGAATTTTCCGGTCAACCCTGAACTGCAGTCTCTCTCTCTTTCTCTCTCTCTCTCTCTCTCTCTCTCTCTCTCTCTCTCTCTCTCTGAAAGCTTTGTACAACTTTGTCCGTGGGAAATGCCAAGCGCAAACACTTTCATTCGAGCGTGCACGAATATTGGTTTATGGAACAAGGACGATACGTTTCGTTTTTTGCAGCCCGAAATAATGCAGCACAGCGAGGGGAGGAGAATAGGGGCAACAAAGGGAACGAGATCGACAACGCGGTCGAGTATGACGACGAGGATGACGAAATCGATGAGTTCGAAGAAGTCATGAAGCAACTCGAGCCAAAGTATCGGCGCTATGCCAACTGGCGAATCTGAATGCTGTTTGAAACTGTCTATCGTTATTTTCGGTGATCGTCGGTGCAAAATGGGTGCGTGCTCGGCTGCAAGGACCAACGATTTCATAAACACACTTAACATTCTTCATCCCTCTGCAGGCCTCTGAATTCGTGGATACCAAGTGAATCTTTGGTATTCCAAATTCTTCGACTGCTGCTGATCCCGAAATCTATAGTACGCGTAACATGAACTATAGATTTTCAGCAGTGAATATCGGAACGCAGCTACATAATTTTCCTTTGAACGGGGGGGAGTGAACATTTCCATTTGGGCTTAAATAACATTTGGCTCTCGAATTAAAAAATTTCTATTTTTCATGAATTCATGCTAGTGGAAAGAATGCATGACTCCCTGGAAATTGATCATGGACCTTCTCCTCCAGCGTGAATTCACGAGAAGTGTAATTTTTTAAATTTGAAAACATTGGAATTTTCACGTTTCCGTCCTAAGGAAAAATTATATGATCGATATTACCAGGTTTTTCGCATCATGAATCTCTGACTTTATGTGTCTCAGTGCTGCCATTCAGTCATTTAAATCACTTTTTTCCTGAGCTGCCGTTAAATTTGTAAAATATAGGCGTCCTGTATATATTTGTGCCTTCTCGTCTGCCGCCGATTGTTTCCGAAAGCGTACTCATATTGTATCGTTCATGTCTTTAATCTCTATTATGAACGTTCGAATCGTACTAAGAACTCGCCACATATTAAATTATCCAAAGATAAACTCGGAAAAGTAAGAATCAATATTACTTTTTTGCTCAAACGGTCTTAGTTACTCTCAGAATTTGACAAAAAATGTCACTTTTGGCGTCACTATTTTGTTATTTGAAAAATTACTTTTGTCACCTGTTCTGCTGAGAAGCAATCACTGTTTCTTTTTTTTTTTTGTACCGATGAGTGAACGGCAGCCCCGTGCATCCGAAAGAGATCTCACGTCCGAAGAGTCAGGATCCAAGTATCCCTCGGCATCACGAATCCTGGACTCTGATAGATAAATCGCACGCACGTTGCTGAAAATTTTTATCGGTACCATCGTAACAATACCTTTGATATCGTCTACGTGGCTACCTTAATTCCCGTTTGTCTTCGTCGTGCGGATCTTTTTCGTTTCGTGGACTCTTGGATCCGCAGAATCCCAGTTTCTCGCGGATCCACGTTCCATGGGTCCTTGGAGCCGCCGCCGCACACCGTTGTTAGGAAAATAGCAGCGCAAATCGTTGACGAGCCCGCGCCAGCCGAAATTATACATCGTGCGACAGCGAGCGTTGTAAACTTAATTTTTAACTGTAATAGGTGTCAATAGTGTCTTACGTATTAGCTAGTTAGTTTGTCGGCCATTTTTTATTTCGCGACGAGGGAGGGGGGACGAATGCGGGTCGGGAAGCAGGGAAGAAGGGTTATATCGAGAGTGTACAGTAGACGATCGATTCTAGTCTCGAAGACAGTCGATCTGTCGGAAAATTGTAAAAAAAAAACTTAATCGCGCATCATTCGTGTCTCTCTCGCCGCGCGACGGTGCGCTCTGCTGTGCACGCGGCGGTGGATCGATGTCGCGCGCGACGCCAGTGCTTCTTAAACTTACAGATCACGGGAGACCAAAGGGTAGAATCGTTTCTTTCTCGCATCCGTGAGAAGGTGTTCTCTGATGAAAAGAAAAGAAGGGAAAAGAGAGAACGACGGGCGACAAAAGTTACGAAGCGTGTCCGGGTGTGTTTCGTTGCTGATTACTACAGGGATATCTTTCGCGATCGGACTTAGCTTGTGGAAGGCTGAGCTGAGTAGGAAAAGCGGTGATGATCGTCCGAGTGCTGACGTGTATCTGATAGGTAGTTAAATAGAGATATCAAAAAATAGGTAATTTTCTCACTAAGGGACTATCCGTGCCGTGAATCAAAGAATCCGCAACTGAGAGGGCATCTGGGCTTGACACCACAGCCTGCGTATGTAAGAGATAGGTAGCAGTAAAGTTTTACAATTAACGCGTGAAAAACGGAAGGGTTTGCGCCGGGTTAAAAATCAAAACGGGGAAAATCGACGGAGCCGACGACGGAGTTCCGGTCGCGCTTACTTACCATACCCGCCCCACGTCGATTTCGCTCTGCATTTGACCGGATCGGCTCTGGACGGACTTATCCGTTTTCTCTGATTTTTACGGTTGACTTTTTACGGTTATCTCTCCGGTCGGCTGAACAGTAGGGTAGACGTTGTAACTGGCGGATGAATATTCGTCGCAATTATCTTAACTAACTAACCGTAGAGGTTTCTTTCTTTTAGTTTGCGTATCTCTCCAGATCTTCGTGGAAGAGAGGTTTAAGGAAACACTGACCTAAAGAACGTGGCGATTACCTTAAAACGAAACACTCTAACGAATTAATACTTAAATCGTACATCACTGTTTAACTGCAACTGGAAAAGAAAAACCTTCCCGAATGCCTTGCGTATACAGTATGTTATAGAAAATGTGAGAATCAGTAATAGGTTACTTTCGGAGGAACTTGAAAAGTTTCTTTTTTATTTTATATATATATTTATATGTGAAGAGAAAATTTAATCGTGCTGGCACTTGATATTGAGGATTAAAGTATGCAACTAGTCAAAGTTTTAAAGGCATAAATAATTACGAAAACGTTACTTGTTAATTAGAGTATATTGTAAATAAATTGTGTTTTAACGAAATTTTAATTGGACGGATGTAATTGTCGAGAAGATTATAATTGAATGTTGAAAAAAAATTAAAAGTTGCTTGGAAAGGGAGAAGAAGCGAGATTTAAGAGATTTTGTTGAACAATGTATGTCGAGCTTCTAAATTTAATTGGAAGAAAACGTTCCTATCACTGGTTATCATATTCTTCGAGATGTTCTGTATATTTACGTATACCTGTGGATATGCGCGCGTGTATGTGCGTGCGTGCGTGCGTGCGTGCGTGTGTGTGTGTGTGTGTGTGTGTGTGTGTGTGTGTGTGTGTGTGTGTGTGTGTGTGTGTGTGTGTGTGTGTGTGTGTGTGTGTGTGTGTGTGTGTGTGTGTGTGTGTGTGTGTGTGTGTGTGTGTGTGTGTGTGTGTGTGTGTGTGTGTGTGTGTGTGTGTGTGTGTGTGTGTGTGTGTGTGTGTGTGTGTGTGTGTGTGTGTGTGTGTGTGTGTGTGTGTGTGTGTGTGTGTGTGTGTGTGTGTGTGTGTGTGTGTGTGTGTGTGTGTGTGTGTGTGTGTGTGTGTGTGTGTGTGTGTGTGTGTGTGTGTGTGTGTGTGTGTGTGTGTGTGTGTGTGTGTGTGTGTGTGTGTGTGTGTGTGTGTGTGTGTGTGTGTGTGTGTGTGTGTGTGTGTGTGTGTGTGTGTGTGTGTGTGTGTGTGTGTGTGTGTGTGTGTGTGTGTGTGTGTGTGTGTGTGTGTGTGTGTGTGTGTGTGTGTGTGTGTGTGTGTGTGTGTGTGTGTGTGTGTGTGTGTGTGTGTGTGTGTGTGTGTGTGTGTGTGTGTGTGTGTGTGTGTGTGTGTGTGTGTGTGTGTGTGTGTGTGTGTGTGTGTGTGTGTGTGTGTGTGTGTGTACGTGCGTGCGTGCGTGCGTATGTGAAACGTGTGTATTAAAAATATGGAGAGAACGCGATCGAGAAATACTCGCGATCACCAAGTGATCGTGTCTCACATCACAGACAGTAAGTTTCGAAGACGACTCGAATCTGTGCTCCGTGAAAGAAATTAAATGCATCATATAAGAGACATAATAATAACACGATAACATAATATATAATGCAATGAAACTTAATTTTTAGCTCCGATTCTTTAGTGGACGAAGGCGAAATTCTTATTATTTGACGTATACGTACACATATTTTTAATACGCCAGGCAGATCTTTTGTTTTTATAGATATTTTTATGTAAGCGTAATATTTTGTACCTCTTAGGATTAAGTTTTTATTAGAGAGAGAATTAATTTTTATCGCATTTTTCTCTTCTTTTTTATTTATTGATATGCACAATTTTCGAATATTGCGGCAGTTTCTATCGAACAACAGTGTCCTGTGAAATAAATTTATATATATATGTCGTTGTTAAGAAACAGATTCGAGCCCCGACGAAGTTATTGTCCGAGTTATCGCGTTTAGGTAGCTCGCAATTTCATGAAAATCGACAACACAATGTCGAGATCTATTATTATATACCTTAAATTATATCTCTCGTTTGTCGTTATTTACTTACAAATCTCGTTAAAAAATGTAAATATATATAGATACATAGATACATATAAATATATATATTTGCCACGTTGCTGGTGGCTGATGTTACGTAGAACAAGATCGTCGCACTCTCAGGACGACGACAAACAACTATCAACATTCTTATACCTGTCTCGCGCTGAGCAATAATTGCACGTGCAATTACAGCGTTTTTATTCTGTATCTCGCGATCTGTGTCTCGGACGAGAAATGCAAGCGCAAATCTTTTATAACACATTGACAATAAGTGACGAGAGTATTTGCTTTTTTGGTAAACTTTCTACACACACACACACACACACACACACATTTGACCAAACGATCGAACACGGTGTTTTCGTAAGGAAAAAAAAAGAACGTTGAAAATAAATTAAAGCGCTCATCCGTAGATTTTTTATCAATGTATCTTTGTCTTCGCGAACGCGCAAAATGATACTTTGAGTCGTTAATCGTAATCGGCCGATTGATATATCGATAAATAATATGAGTTCGAACCAAACAAAAACGCAAGAAAGAACCGAAAATCTATCGGGTACTCGGATGTGTTGCGCGTGCAATTAGAGCGTGTGTTCCACTTTGCGACATGTGTAATAATAATTATAATGATGATGATGATGATGATGATGATGATGATGATGATGATGATGATGATTTCCGTATTGTAAAGCTCCTTTTGCTGTGGTTATTCTACGAAGCAGTTGCAGTTGCACGCGCACTTATTTCCCAGTGAAACGCGAATACTATACTTAGATTACTAGGCTTCACCGTGCTCCAAAGTCGTGATCGAAGACGGTCACGAATGTGACAAACTCAAACCGAACCGTGTACAAATCGTATAAATGTGTTAATCGTACAAAGTGAAAGAACGATCTTTCATCATCAGCCCTTTCGTTCCCAAGATATATATACCTCCCGAAATACCGCCGGGGGGCGATGTTTCTTCAAACCGTGCTTGCAAAGATTTTTGTATGACCGATGATTTCATTATTTAAGCGTACTTTTCATACGATTCATGCAGCTACGCTCCGGGAAGGAAAGGGTCGAGATTTAGATTTCTTCCACTCTCTACAACGCGTCTACAATGAATCTCTCTCTCTCTCTTTCTCTCTCCCTCTTACTCTTTCTCTCTCGTCGGCTCAGCGATCACAGTTTGTAACCCGTTGACGAAAGGAGCAATCGTTCCTCGCTGAAGTCAGAAGAGGTTTTGACGTTTCGAAAACAATTTCGGAAATTCAGAGACGAACTCGAAACGACCCGAGCCCATGTCGTTTGTCGAGCTCACTTTTCTAAATCACAAATATGTCCGCGTACATACGAAGGAAACATATGTTTCGTCCTATCCGGTGAAAACCAGTTGATTTAATCGATACGAGTGAAATCTTTTCTTACGATTTTCGAGCTGTTGTTTCATGTGCAAATCTATTCTCACTCTTTCTTTCTCTCTCTCTCTCTTTTTAAAGATCTATTTGTAAGATTCTTTCTTAGGCCGGTGACTGTTTGCGAGTATCTTGTTGCTATATATTGTAAAACGCGAAGGAAGCTGGACCTTTCGAGGTGAGAGTTCTGGGAACAATAAATGAAGATTGGTTTCTTAAATCGCTTGAAATATGCACATGTGTGGGTGTTTATGTGCACGTGTGTGCGCACGAGTGTGGATTATGGCGGTGATGATGATGACGTTGCGTGTATGTGTGTGAGTGAGATAGACTAAGTGTGTAAATAACTATCGCGGATTGGCACGTTCAAAGAACGTCCTGAGAATAGGGAATAGCGTACGAAAGAGAATTCTATGTATATGAGAGACAAATTGAGTTTGAGAGATTTTACTGAATCGACGTATAAACGAGAGAATAAAGATGATTTAATTATAATCGCCTCTTGATGATCTTCTCTCCCCTCGGACGTCCATTTTCATCCATTCACGTTATCCAGACATGGAAGCGACTCTCTTTTCTTTCACCTTTTCCAATTTACTTCAAAACATCTCATTTTTCTCCTTTTCAAGAAAAAATTCTTTTTTTCTTATTTTTTTTAATCGACTTATATGTGTGAGCTTTTTAAAAAAATCTCAATGACAAGAAATTATGCTCAGTTCTAGCTTTAAGGAGGAAAAATGGCTCAATATGAAAATAGAAAGTAATAATGACTTCGATAACACCAGTTGTTCATAAAGTGAAGAACTGTGATGTTAATTTTAAGTTATTTTTATCAAGTTTGTCAGAAAAATAGACCAATGACCGTCATGAACACATTAGTTACATTTTTTTTAATTATATAGAATTGATGTATACGATTTGTCCATGTTCGTGCATCCATAATCTTATTTGTCTACCAAAACGAGTTATTTACAAACGAAACTGAGAAAGACAGACAATGACTGTCAGCAATACATCTGACTATATTTTCTTTGAATTGGATATTATTAAATATTATTGAATATTCTTTTAATATTATTCTTAAAACGTTGACTCGTTAATTAGTCTACTTTCGATGGAAAAAAATTTGTTTCTCAAAATTCAAGTTTTGCTTTCATTGACTCTCACTACAAAGTCAGTATTTTTATCCTCTTAGAAGAATGTATAATAAACAATTTAATTCTTTATATATAAATTATTTCGAAAAGACTCACTCTTTTTATTCCTTTTAAAGCTTACTCACCATTTTCTTACTTTGTCCAAAATGAAGTTATTTTTCTCGCTATTTTTGGCAGTTAAACCACTCCTGTACCTGCGTTATCTTATCCCATGTATCAGCCATATGCGGTTTCATCTCGGTTATTTTCATCTAAGGATCGTGATGTAGTTTTTCGAGGGTGAAGAGAGAGAGCTCCGGTTTTACGTACGTTTATTAAAGCTTCCGCAATACAATTCATTTACTCATCGTTTGCACAACCTTACGTTCCTTCGCGCGGCGCGGATCGAAGAGGGTAAATACCGCGCCTTCGTGTTGCAAGTGTCCGACGTGCACACCGCGTATTCCTTTTCTTTCTTCATTTGTTTCTCTTCTTTTTTAAATTTCTCACATTTTTGTCGTTTCACAACCTTTACGTACTTCCTCGATCGCACTGTGCAATACTGTTGCCCGATTTCTATTTTTTTTTCTTTGCATTTCTCCATGCGATACAATGCCGGCATTGGAAGATTATCGCTCTCCGCTGTCGACGACGCGAATATATATATATGTAATAATTATATATAAAATAGAATATTTCGGAAATAACGCTCAGATCTGTACAACCGAGAAATTATACATTCACCGTCTCGTATTTATACTTTTATATATATATATATATACTCGCGTAATACGTATATATATAATGTATTCGATATATCTCTTTCCACACACACACACACACACACACACACATGTGTATAGATATATATATATATGGTAAACCTATATAAAATGTACATATATTATCGACTCTGTGTACTTATACAGTAGCTCATACGCTTACACACGGCACCACGCGGCTGAGTATTTATGACAACGCGATTGGTCGTGCGCGAATATGAGGATCGTCCTCGTACTGATCCTCGTTATCCGACGTCGTGCGGATAATATCGAATTACGTCTTAATCCTTCGCCTCCTAATTAACTTCCGTCGCACCGAACTTCGCTGCGGATCCTCCAAATTTGCATCGCGAACGAAGTTCCCCGAGAGACTCACGTAGACGATCCCCCGGGGAACGCCAGACCTCGTCGTTCGTGCAACTTCGAAGGAGCAGTGGGCGGTGTCGAGAATAGGAGAATTATTGCACATTTTTGGGGATCTATAGACTGTTGGAATCCTACGGATGATTTCGGATGCGGTCGGTGTCATGCGTGCCGTATCGTTTCCCAAATGGGAAATTACACGATTTTCAATCTTACACATAACTCATAAGATTATAATTATAATGACTCTGATTAAGATTATAATTATAATGACTCTGATTATACTCAGACAGCAGGAATGTCCGAAAGATATCGTAAAGACATCCTGAAGACATTCTAAATCTTTTAGTCGTTTTTCGACATTTTTGCTGCCTGAGTTACGGCTTCGGCTTTATGTATAAGCCTGAAAATCGTGTAATTCTGCATCTAAGGTCGGTATACACAGTCGGATGTTACGTACAAGACCGTATCTTAAGTTCATCTTCAGATGCTGTACGGTTTACTTCATTGGCTACAAAGCATCTGAAGATGAACTTAAGATGATCTTAAATATAAAATCTGACAATGAATATCGGTCTAGGAAATGGCACAGTATACATGACGCATACTGTACAAGGAAGCATCGTCGACTCCACGGATGCTGCGAGTACTCGCGGTTTCATATTTTCCGATGAAACCAATTTCGAAACCCACAAATCCGGACTCTTCCTTTCTTTTCTTCGTTCTCTCATGAATCTGTGGGCTTCACAATCACAGATTTTATAAGTGAGCTCGTTTTCACGGATTTGAGTCTCGCGACATCGTTACAGTTTCACAGCGAGTCCGGAATTTAAGATGGGTGGATTTTCGCTTGAACTTGAACGCTTCGCGCTTTAACGTTTGCGCGTAATTCATGTAATCCCGCGATTCCTTGGATCTATAGATCGCACGTATCTATCGCAAAGCAAAGAGAGAGAGAGAGAGAGAGAGAGAGGAAGCGCGATGAACAAATAAGAGCTGCGCCGGTATCCGACTGGTAAACTGATAACGAAAGTTCCATCTGTATTGCACGCAATGACGAGACTTATGTGACAAGAAAAGGCTCTGAGATTCAACAGATTGGTCGTGTCGTGTGTGTGTTTGTGTCGATGTGTGTTCGCTTAATAATTAATCAACGAATAGCGTTTTTCTTCCACTTGTTCGAGGAGCGTCCTCGTGTGTTCCTCCGGATGGCGCACGCGCCTCGTTTACACGATACACGACGAGTAAACGCACATATGAGAGGCCTTACCCTTTTATCCCCGCAACATAACACCGTCTTACGCTAAGCGGTGAGAACGATACACGAGAATAGGTAACGACACGCGCTGTCCTTACCCAAGAGATATTCCCCAGGTGCTTGAGAACGCGCTGAAAACGTTCTCGGTTTTGTTTCGTCGGAATTTTTCCTGTGGAAAAACAGTCTCCGCTCTCTCTCTCTCTCTCTCTCGAAACTTCTTGGAGCTAAAATCTCACTCAAAATAAGCGAAAAGTGATGTTTTTATGAGTAAAAATACCGCCGCTCGAAGTCGCAAGAGCGAACGTTTCACTTGAGCTCAGAATGGATTCCGATTTCTCACACGAATAAATATTTTAATTCGAGTGAATTTATTCCTGTGAAGGTCGGCATCGTAAACTTTACTATTTTCTGGATCAAAAATTACATGATTTCAGCCTTACATGTATATATACAAAAGGTAGAAACCGTTATAATTAGAATCATATAACCCTACCATTGTAATTAGAATGACTTACTGCGACTTTTGACCTTAATCGTACATATGTAAGCTTGAAAATCATGTAATTCTCGATGTAAAGAATGCTAAGATATACATGAAATTTTGTGTGTGTGTGTGTGTGTGTGTATGTGTGTATCACGTAGCAGGATCACGTATGCTATACCAGATTGTAACTTTTTACTATTGTACAAATTTAATTTTTCACACGCACGTCATATATATGTCTCACCATTAAAACTAGAGTTACGTATGCAATTTTCAACCTTATGCGTGTATATATGTAAGGCTGAAAATCGTGTAACTCTCGATCTAAGGAGTGGTAAGGCACACACGACGCAGTGTATGCGTATACATAAGTTCGAAATTATTATAATTAGAACTATTAGAGCCTATTATTATAACTAAAGTCACTCATGCGATTTTCGACCTTATGCGTCACGTGTATAAGGTTGAAAATCGTGCAACTCTTCGTTTAGGGAATGGTACAACACACATGACGCCGTACATCGGATTCACTCTTCAGTTTCGCTCGACGATTCAGGGACAGAGGATCTACACTCTACACACAAAAACCACACAAATCCGAGCGACTCGTCGCTCTGCTTCTCCGAGTGGAGTTTCACAACCGGGAAATTTAGAGAGCATGTGTTACACCGTTCTCGCGCCTCTTACAATGATTACTAAGCACGCCAATGTCAATACGGTTACAACACTCACGTTATACGTTTTGATTAATATGTCGTCGTTATCTCTGAATGAAAACCGCCTCGTTCAGAGCTGATGAGCTGGGATGGTTGAGCCTGAGTCGAGCACAAGAGCGTCTTTCGACCGACCGGCGCGCGCGACGCCGGTCCTACAAAAGTCTGTGAGGTTTTTGCCGCTCGCAAGTTTCGCGACCCTTCCGCGCGTATGTATGTACAACAACCCTTCGCCGAGAGAACACGAACTTCCCGTCCTCCCTCCACGCGTTGTTTCTTTTTGCTTTTTTTATCTGTTTACGATAAATAATACAATAATTAATCATAGGACGCGCTTTCGTTCGCGCCCTAATCGGTTTTGGCATAGGAACCTTGTTAACGTATCGCATATCGTCAAGCTCCGTCTCTAATCAACAATTCTAATACTGCTCGTTCTCAACTGGTACGAATCACACGATAATCGGCTTTCTTCGCACTCCCCTACCACGGGAACAGCCACGAATGTTCCATGACGCGAGAGAAAACAAAAAAAAGGACCACGCTTCGCAAAAATGCTTCTACAAAAATGTATAAAGTACGAATTAATACATAATTACAGATTGCTGTATATATACAAACGTACAGTCTCGTCATGGAATGTGGAGTACGATATACAATATATTATATTATATATTTAGATTAAATAATTTCTCATGTTCGCTCCTCTCACGTCGCGTCTATTGTACATTAGAGCTCTANAAAAAAAAAAAAAAAAAAAAAAAAATATATATATATATAAAGAAAAAACAGACGAAACGATTAATTCGCTCGATTCGCGAATCCACGACGCGAGATCCTCGCGAGGTCCCGCGGATCGTTGCGCGCACGGATCCGCGGATTATCCCCGGACATCCGTCGTACTCGTCGTCTGGATCTCCGTAGAGGATCTCTCTCTCTCGTGGATTCTCCTATATTTAGATATCTTTCAGCGAATTCGAATCACCCGCGTCACACCAAATTGATGCACGGTTGTTGAAGTCTGCTATACACGAAGCTGTCACTTAAACGCAAAGGTGTAGAAATAATTCAATTAATTAAATACCGAGTATACAAGGATATACGTTAATTATCACATGGTCCAAATGCTTCTATCGCACCACTGCATTTAGATATTTCACATACAGCAGTCTCCGATGTCTTTAGTGCACTAAATCGGTGCGGCGGCGAGTTATCGAAACCGCCATTGGACTCTACCATGACCCGGTCATGATTCCGACGTAGATCCTTCATCACGGAGATTCTCGAAACATTCGACACAAGATCTTAGATAAACTCTTTAGCTTCGGGCTAAATATACTGAGCGAACGGACGCGGGACCGAGCAGCGAATGCAAACTTTCGTTGTTACAATGTTGGACAATGTGTGCGCCGCAACGAATCCAAGCGGGAAGCCGTTCCGGGCCGATTCGCTCGGTGACTTATCAAAGAAAGTTCTCGTGCGCGCGTTCAGACGCATATGTACACATTCGTATTACACAATTCTAACAGGGTTCGTTCGTAGTTCGTTCATCCTCAGTGTACGCCTACCTTAAACGGCCGCGTTTTGCGAAGTCGGCATCGTCCAGAGGAATCGACGCCTGTCTCGCCGACTGGTACGCGTGTGATGCGAGGTCACAGAGTTGCTACGGAAATTGAATTTTGAAATTCCCCGACGTATCCATGCCTTCCAGACGACGATATGTGATGTTAAATTGTAACGTTTAGAAGCGGGGATCGCGGGAAAGGTAGATCGTCAGAAGCAACGCAAACTAAGAAGTTTAGTGTCACGCGATGCAATCCTGAATGCAAATTCAGGCCAATACAAAATAAATGAGTATTGGGAAAAGGAATGCAGTTAGGACGGAAAAGGGCGATTGAATAAAAACGCTGAAAGACAACACTGACCAATCACACTCGATTATTTTCCTTACGGTCGAGAAATAATCGAGTGTGACCCGCCACTTTTCTTACTGTTTTTCCACGTACCACGGCCCAACACACAAGGAATGCAAGATACGCGAGTTTTAAATGCATTTGACCATGTAAAAGAAGGTTTAACGCACACGTTAAAAAAATTACAGAACAGGGAGCTGGTCTGTGGCAGTCCTGGATCAACAAAGAAGGGAAGATGGAGAGAGGAGAAATGAATCCAGATGGAGACGAGACGGCACATCGAATCACACGCGAGACGCTCGAGAAAAAATCGCGCCGATCGCACCGACGACCATAATAACGTGTACGTCCATTCTTTCTCATCTCGTCCGTTAAGTCGGAACGCTGCTGATCACCAGGCACGGCGAATCTAGGCTCTCTACTGTGACTACGTGCCGAGATGAACGAGTCTACGAGTCAAAGATCGGCGAGCCCCGTCGCGTTCGACGCTGGACGAGGCGCGGAGCTCGAGACCGGTTCCACCGCGGTGACACGGACTCAGTTCAACGCGTGGCTGTTTCTACGTCTTAGGAACACCCTGCTATTGACCGGGTAGACACGGGTTAACAGTATGAGTGAGCTGCCGAGAGCCAGCTTGACGGGCGCTTGGCGGCCTCCCGGTAGCCTGATGAACACCGTCGCCACGGCCGCGACGCCGTCGTCGGTCGGCTCGACGGCGACCGGGCGCACGTCGCTGTGAAAGTTGACGTATTTGCCGCGCCGGCCCTTGCGCTGCGGCGAGCTCGGGCTGCACTCGCCGCCGTCCCGGTCGTAGAGTATCGTAGCGGATGCAAACGGCCGCTTCGCCATGTGCAGCATCTCGACCACGTGGCGACGCCGGGCGCGCCGCACGTCCGCCGCCTGCTTCGTCTTCCACGCGACCACACAGGCCGCCAGGAACAAGAAGAAGCAGGAGAAGAAGCAAGAGAAAAAGACGAACAGGTCGATGTGAAGCTGATCCTGCCGGAAGAAGATCAGACCGTAGGCGGCGCGGCCGTTCAGCTCCAGATTCGCAGTGTCGATCGCCCGGAGGGCGATGTGGAACTTCGTCTGGCCGAGCTCGTGCTTGTCCTGCGGCAGCGTCAGCACCAGCCGGTTCGTTAGATTGCGTATCACCAAGAACGTGTTGCGCCGCTCGATCGTCAGGTAAGTGGCCAGATTCTCCGCGTAGTGCTCCATCACGTAGAACTGCGGCCCGGTGTTCCACGTGGGCTCCGTGGTCGTGCCGTTCGCGCCGCCGAAGCTGCCGTGCGAATGGAACTCCACCACGTGGGTCCTGGTGTTGTGCTCCTCCTCCAGCCAAGTCTCCGGATTGTCCGGCCGCTTTCTGAACCTGCTGTCGAGCTCGACCTGCAAAATGCGGTATCTCATCAGCGATATTTTGAGAATTTGACAGATGAGGGAATGATAAGTTAAATAAATAGGTAATATATGTGAATGGTAAGAAATATGACTACTGAGAAGTAGAAAAGATTGGTCATCGAAAATAGACCGATATTTTTACATAAATGGCTTGAATGAAAGGGCTTGGAATCGAAGGGGGAACGATGAAATCTTACATCTTGATAACCAGTCGAGGAGTTCAAGGTGACGACGAAAGAGTCGTCCCGAGGACTCAAGAACAAATCCAAGGCGCCTTGAGTAACATCCACCATGACCCTGATGTCCACGTTCATGAAACGCGGCTGCATCATGAAGAACATGGTGTGGCCGGGGTTCAAGGGTTTCGGCTTCATCTTACATTCGTCTGAAATGAAACGGCCAGTGGGTGACAAGAATTTTCTGATCGAGTCGTTGTTTAATCCAAGTAAAATATTTTCCAAGTAAGTTATTATTTATGCGTTCCGAATCTGAAGTAATTACTCACTTGAGCCCAGTATTTTTTCTGTGCGTTTTAAGTTAGAAAGGTTAAGTCGTTTAAAATTAACTAAGGTAAATCTTGTTCGCTTTTTAACTTTACTTTCAACTAATTAACTAGTCATATTATCCAAGCCTGAATATTACTTATCGTCACGTGAAGAAGTGATTGTTCTTATGCGAGTAGTTCACATGAATCACTGTCGCTTACCTATCAATTTCCCGTCGAAACACATTTTGTTGTCCACCGTGACGGTCTTGTAACACTGATGGCCCATCGTCGGCGTGCCGGCGTAGTTCTCCCTGCATTTGCTGCACTGGACCATCCAGCACGGCATGCCGCCGGTGTTGGTGCCCTTCGTGGGGCCGCTCACGCAGGACGACTCACTCTCCGTGTTGTTGCCGCAATTGCACTTCTCGCCGGTCACAGGGTCGCAGGTGAAACCGTGGCCGTGGCACTCGCAGCTGCAACGAAGATGTTAGTTTACGCATTTAATTAGCGTTAATTATTGCGAATTTTGCAACAAGGTGCATGACTTTTCTACTCGGTTTAATCTGAGGGCGTAGAACGGATTGAGGTGGACAAATAAGTCCCGCACCATTTTGCAAACAACACGCAAAATTTTGAGTTATTAATTAAAGACACTTATACAAGATTTTGATATAGCTGTCTAGGTCAAGAAACAGCAGCTGTAATCTGGTAATTTTATCCTGTCGTTTAGGTTCACATTCAATTACACACAGATCGATCAATTAATTGCCAATCGGATGATACTCACGGCCGACATACGTCTCGTAGATCCTCCGTGCCCCGGAAATAGCCGGTCACACATTCGCCGCACTTGTCGCCTTTCGTGTTGTTCCCGCAGTTAACGCACTTCGCTTTAGCCACTGGCCCCTCCACCAGTTGCTTCTTCAGCAGCTCTATCGACATTTTGTCCACCGCATTGGGGTCCTGCGTTCAAGGAAAGCATTATATATTACTAAAGATCGCGTAATATATTACGAAAGTGGAATATTACGTGCAAACAGTAACACAATAGACACAATGAAAACAGAATTCTAAAAAGCCGAATTTCCACACAAATCATTACCATAATCTATACGATTTTATAAATCATTAAGATTTTTTTTTTATGATTTCGCAAATCACTATGCAACAATTTTTGTAGATCTTTGTGACAATAGAAGAGTCGAGACAGAAATGATCGAAAAGTGAGCCGCGATTGATTATACAACGGATGATGGATAATTGACAATAATAGCAAGTACCCAGTAAACACCAGCTTAACGATAACACGAGATCGATGTTATAACCCACTCAACAATGTAATTGCAACATAACGCACGTGTTATGTAACAGTTGCATTGTCGAGTGGGAAATTATCGCATTGATGTCACGTTACTGACAGTTCGAGTGTTTACCGGGCATTCGTTTCTCGGCTACCAATCTGTTCTTAGCTAAGGTATTAATTGCCATTAATCGTGAGTAATTAATTACTGGCACAGTCATGCTGTCGTTAATGCAGATCCGAGTGTGCCCGTTGCAGTACTCGAGACACGGCACGCACTGGCCGTTGTCCGCGGGATTGCCGACATACAGAGGCAAGCACTTCTCGCATTGCGGGCCCATCGTATTATTATGGCATTCCAGGCAGACGTCGAGTTTGTCGGGACCGGCACAGTTACTGTGGCCGTTGCACTGACACTGGATCGAGCAGTTGGCGCCGACGTAGCCGAAGTCGCAGCGGCACACATTCGGCTCCACGCACGTGCCTCTCACGCAGCCTTGCGTGCACGTGGGCACGCAAATGTTTCTGCAAATTGCACCGAACGAGTTAAGAAGACCACAAGACGATCGCATAATTTTCGTTCATAAATTAATGGGACAAGAAGTAATAATAAAATTAAATAATGAAAGTAAATGAATGAAATATATAAATGTTTAAAGCTTACCTTCCAAATTCGTTCACCCAGGTACTGGAAATAGGGAAGCTTACATTAATATGCGAAGAGTGAAATTAAAACTTATGGAATAAGCGTATCGAATAATATCGGAGAAAGAAAAATAGAAGACATTACGTCTCGGTCTTGTATCCATCCCCGCACTTGCACTCGAAGCCCTCCTCCTGGTCGAAACACTTCTCGCTGTTCGGCGAACATGTGTGATGTCCATTTATGCATTCATTTTCTGGAGGGCAGCGCACGTAGTGCCACGAGAACTCCGGCTTCACTATTGCATTGGACAGTGACATCGTAACGTTGTCTTCCTCTGAAAGGTCTACATGTGGCTGTAACGTTGTGGTAATCGCTGTAATCAACGAGAGACGCGACGTAACAGCACTCTAAGTATCGGCGTTGAAGCATTAAAAATACGAATGTTCCTTTTTTCGGAGAATTCACCGGTGAAAGGAATAATAATACGATACTCACGTGGCTCGGTTTGCGGGAATTGTTGGTGATAGAGCATTTCGCAGGTGCCACCAGCGGGATGATCGGTCGGTGCTTCGAGCGAGCCTTCTGTGCATATTCCTTGACCGGTTATATTGGCGGAGTCCAGGGAACACCAGCCGCAATGCGAATGCTTCAGGCAAGTGCTGCATTGCGTGAAAACTGAACACGGTTCTGGGCAATGGTCCATGTCTGCGCTACGCAACACCAAGCCGCAGACGCCGCCGGCGCAGTAGAGTGGCTGGTACGATGGAGAGATGCACTAAAATTCACAAATGCTCAACAGTTATCCGCCTGGTCTATTCGTCGGCTCCAAGTTACTCACGGCTTTAAATTTCTAGAATTTAAAGAGAAGAAAGAGAGATTTCACATTTTTTCTCTCCGTATAGAATGCCTTACTTCGTTCAATTGAGTAGACCATCTGCATTCACTCCAGCCTCCCTCGGCCCCGGTACCTTTCAGGCAGCTTCTGCAGTCCTTGTGATCGGCGCATCTTCGTTCGCACTGCGTGCTGCTCATTTTTATGCTGGATCGTTCGAAGATATCGTCCGGCACGCAGTTCCAGTCGTAGACGGGCTCACCCGTTACCTTCACCCCTAATTCAGCTACCGATGGAAACAGTTTTCTCAATAATTGTGCACGCATTTCGACACCGTTTTATTACACACCTCGGTTAAAATTAATCGTATGTTCGTCGTACGATTGATTAAAAACTCACAAATTGCAATTCCATGTAAAGAGAGAGAATATATTTTTGAATTACACAGAGAACGAGGCATTCAACAACATGTCCCATCCTGTGTAATTCAAGAGAATATATGTTTCATTATATTTTCAGCGTGTAGCGCTATTTATGCAGAACTTACAAGTCTTCAGGACCTGCCTCGTCCACACGCAGTCGCCAAGACTGTTGCACTTTTCACAGTCGCTCGCTGGACACAGTCGTTCCCCGCACTGATTCACGTTAGAGACCGACACCTGCCGGACGTTGCACTTATTCAGCTCGTCGCAATCCCTCTCCGACGGGATGCACTTGCCGTACGGACAGTTGGTGCACCATTTGCACACCGGCTGCTTGTCGCCCTTGTAATATGGCCACTCCGCCAAGCATTCCGTGCAGGTCTTGAAGTTCTGACACTTCCTGCTCGCCATCCAGTCCGAATTGCAGAATATTCCGTTGGACCGTTGCGCTTGAGTGACGTTCAAGTCGCACCTAAAATTTAACAAAACCATCATTCCTTCCTAAATCAACATTCTAAGCAATATATCAAATAGAAGTTGTTAAGTTGTATAATAAAATTATTACCTCTAAAGTGATAATTTAAAAGTTTTATGTATATATATTTTCTTTTTAGTTATTAATTATAGAAAATGACCACGTATAGAGGCTTCTTTAATTAATAACCACGCAAATTTGTTCAGTTAGACTGCGCAGATCTAAAGCTAAGAATTAAAAGAGACAAATTAGAAGATTAAAGATACACAAAAAAGTCAGGAAACGTACTTATCATCTCGGTTGCTCGACACTTCGTTCGAAAAGCAGAAGGAAGCGTTGGTACCAGTGATGGTGGTGACGGCGCAGAACGAGCAGCCGAAGTACTTTCGGCAGGTGTTCTTATCTGTCCAGAGATTGCACAGGTCCTCCGGTATGCTGATCAACGTGACGTGGCTTTTGATGCTACCGTCGAAGCCGCCGACGACGTAAACGGCGTTCGACTCTGGCTCGGCGTGGGTCATCGCGTGAGCATACGCCGGCGGTGGCGGGCTGCCGATCGTTTCCATGTCCTTCGTTATTAAACGTATCCACAGGTTACACGAGTACTTGTACGCGATCAGAGAGTCCGAGGTGTTGTGAGGATTCTGCCGGCCGCCGAATATCACCATGTACTCGTCCGTCGTAACCGCGGAATGAAGGAACCTGGCTTGAGGCTGAAATAATAGAGTGAGATTTTAGGATTCGTGCGATCAACTGAAAATATATCGACTAATTGAATTCGTCGTTACTTGGAAGGTATCTTCGCAGTTCACCCCAAGTGATCGCGGCTATGAATTAAATAGATCGATATTTCCAAATTAAACGAAACTTTCGTTATGAATTATTTCACGATTATCATATATTATTATATGATATAAAATTATAATATAAAATTATATTTGTATACAATATGGCTTATTATTATATATTACATATTAATTGTGACTGAAATAAATTTGGTAATAATGAATGGGCAAAAAATATTCTAAGATATATTAAAAAAAAAAAATACTTTACCAGAGTGCTGCCATAGACGAAATCGTCGTCGAACGGCGGCAGCACAGACCACGTGCGTCTCCTGTAATCCAGGGCGTACAACTTGTTCGAGATGAAGGTCCTGTTTATAGCATAGGTGTAGCCACCGAAGACGTAGAAGCTGTCCGACTTGCCGTGATACACGGTGGAGTGGCCGTAAACGCCGAGTGGCCCGTTCCCGACGGTCTCCACTGTGTCCCAGGTTTCGGTTTCCAGATTGAACTCCCACACCGTGTCCAGGTATCCGTACTTGGGGCTGAAACCGCCGATCAGAATCAGGGTCTCCGACTCGCCGTCTCGGCGCAGGGTGAGCGTGTGACCGGCCGAGGGTAGCGGCTCCTTCTTCCTCTCGTCCTGCAGGATCTGGCTCCAGCGCTGGTTCTGCAGGCTGAACTTCCAGAAGTCGCTGAGGGTGTTGTTCGACAGGCCCTGCACGTCCTCGTCCTTCATCGAGAGCCCGCCGTACACGTAGATCTGCTGCCGGCTGTGCACGATCTCGGCGGCGTGGAAGTAACGGCCCTGCGGCATCGACATCGCCGACATCGCCGACGAGGTGGAGTCCACCGTGATCAGTATCCACGTGTTGTTCTTCGTGTCGAACAGCCGGATGTCGTTCAACGGCCCGTGGCTGAGCGAGTAGCCGCCGAACATCCAGAGGCTGCCGCGACGATCGGCCACCAGGCTGTGGCCGAAGCGCGGCAGCGTGTTCCTGAGATGGTCCCACTGGTCGGCCAGGTATTCCGAGTTGAAGAGCTCCGTGAAGATCAGCTGGTGGTCGTCCAGCCGGATGGAGCAGTCACGGCCGCCGTAGCCCGGCGAGCAAACGCACCGGCCGTAGCCCTTGTCGCAGACGCCGCGCTTCTTCGCGGCGGTGCAGTTGTCGGGGCAGATCTCCACGTCGCACTCGATGCCGAAGAAGCCGGGCCTGCACAGGCAATTGCCGTTGCGGCACTCGCGATTACCCGGACAGTTGTCGCACGTCATCACCACGTAGCTCGCGTTGAAGCCCTCCACCTCGTCCAGCTGCTTGTAGTGGACCGTCAGGAAACCCGACTTGGCCTCCACCGTCACCGGGTAGTCGGTGCTCTCCGTGCAGTAGACGCCGAGCAGCTGACTCTGATGGCCGCCGGACGAGGAGACGAACTCCGGCAGGCCGTCGTACACGTACACGCTGTTCTCCTGGCAGCTGACGTTGATGTCGTCGTGGATCGTGAATTGGATCACGCTCTGGACCGCGGGCGTGGTCGCGTCCGACGAGAGATCGGTCTCGGGGCTGACGATCCAGAGGCACTCCCGCGTCGGCGAGTCGCCCATGTGGTTGCCCCACAGCGAGGACTGCGAATGCCGGCTGCCGAGGCCCTGCTTGCCGTTCTCCACGCCGCCCAGCATGCCCCGCGACATGCAGCCGTAGTAGCACATACCGCCGTCCCGCGGGTCGCCGTAGTAGCCTCGCTTGCAGCGCTGGCACGTGTCACCCTCGGTGTTGTCGCGGCAGAAGCACACGCCGGTCTGCCGGTCGCACACATCCAGTTCCACGTCGCCGTGACCGTTGCAGTTACACTCGCGGCAGCCCAACGGTGTCGTCGCGTTGCCGTAGCTGCCCGCCTTGCACGTCTCGCAGTACTGTCCGGTCGTCCAGTCCTGACACCTGTCGCAGATACCTGGCCCCTGGTGATACACAGAGAGGGTTGTTAATTTGGAAATATACAGGGTGTCCCCAACCGTTCTATAAGTCGAAGGAACGAGAGTTCAAAAACAGTTTCTGATTCCGAGCTATCCGTTTTTCAATTTCCGCGTGGTGGGGGGAGGCAACTGACGAGGAGTCACGTGGAATATTGCGACTCGAACGGAAAATATTGAGATAACAAAGGCACGTTGAATCAACACAGGGGTGTATTGAACATTCAACGCGAAGATATTGGCAAAAGTGCGAAATGTCTTTTCTTTCACCGTGCATCAGTGCGCCTACCTGCAGGCAAGTGGAGTGGTTATAACAGCCGCAGTTGGTCCGGCAGTCCGGCCCGGTCCAGCCGAGATTGCACTCGCACTTGTAGTCCGGCGCCTCGCTGCAGTAACCGTTGACGCACCTCTCGTAGCAGGTCTTCGTGCAGTTCTCCTTGCCGTCGCCGTTGAAGCCGCGCTTGCACTGGCAGCTGAAGCTGCCGTGGGTGTTGGTGCAAAGCGCGTCCGGGTGACAGTCGTGCAAACCGAGGTCGCACTCGTCGACGTCCGGGCACTGGGCGTACGCCCAGCTGGACTCGTCCGCCCTGAGGCTGCTGTTGCGGTACTCGTTGATGACGAAACTGCAGTTGACGTGGGGCTGGTTGAAGTCGCCCTGGACGCACACGCCGGTGATGGGGTTCTCCAGGCTGTAGCACCAGCCGCAGCTGAGCGAGTGCAGGCAGCTGGAGCAGTTGGTGTGCCGGCTGCAGCTCTTGCACTGGTCGTTGCCGGTCAGGGACGAGGAGCGGGCGGTGACGCCCATCAGACCCGCCTGGTCCATCCATTCCCGGCACAGGCCGAACTGATACTCGGACGTGTACACGGAGAAGGAGAAGCACTCACGGGTGGCCTCGCACCAGACGCACCTGCCGCGCTCATCCAGGCACTGGGTGCAGTTCGAGCGCTGCCGGCAAGGGATCGGGCACTGCTCCAGGCTGACCACGGCGTTCGGCAGCCGGCCGATTCGTGCGCATCTCGCGTCCTCGGTCCACCACTCGCAGAGGTTGCTGCCGACGCACGACTCGCAGGAGATGTAGTTGGAGCAATTGGCGCATGCCGACGGCGTGATGGTCAGGTAGTGCCACTCGCGTATCGCCTTGCCGCTCGCCTCGTCCCACTCCACGTCCGCGGAGCAGCTCTCCGTCTCGTTGGCCGAGCGCGGCAGGCATCGGTTCGTGATGTCGCACCAGCCGCACGACGAGTCGGTCAGGCAGTGCAGGCAGTTGCCGTACTGGTGGCAGGAGCCGTTCTGAAACGGCTCCAGGTACTCGAACGTGAACACCTTTGCGTTGTCGTTCGCGTTGTTCCTCTTGTTGTGCGTGATCTCCATCTTGCTCGCGTAAGCGTAGCTCGCAGTCACCATCCTTTTCGACTCGAAGTCCAGGAGGTACCGGCCCGGCAGCAGCTCCATCGGCTGACCGTCCGGCCACTTGGTCGGTATACACTGCGACGTCTCCGCGGTCAGATTGGCGACCAGTTCCTAAGTGAATATTGTGTTAATGGCATTGCACGGAAAGAAGAGTGACTTGTCTGTGTCTTGTCGCTCCCGGGGAAAGGATAAAATCGATCTCTAGTTCGTGAGAGTCAATCGTGTATTCGCCAATCGGCTATTTTTTCCGAGTGTTGTAATGTAATTCTCAATTATTCCCGGGAATATTCGTTACACGTTCCCGGTCAAATGTCGATCCCCTTCAGTGAACCAACAATGTTACACAGTGTAGAAAGAAACAATCGCATGTATGTTAATAGAACTACTATCGGGCGACTCACCAGTTTATTAGGATCATCGCTGCGCGAGACATGGAGCGTCGCGCTGTTGTAACTGACGCAGATCTTGAGATGCTCGAGCGCGCTGTCCCAGAGCTGAGGCGGCCTGAGGAAGCCGGTCAGCCTGGCGATCATCTCGCCGCCTAGGGCCGACTCGGTCTTCGCGCCCTGCATCGACGGCACGTTGAAGTCGACCGTGGTAGCGTTCACTATCGTCACCGAGTCGGGCTGGCTGAAGTTCACCGGCGGCTTGTACTTGAGGAACGTCAGACCCGGCCTCTTGTCCATCTCCCGGCACTCCTCCACCTTGATGATTTCCGTGCCCTTCGGGCCCCACCAGCCCGGTATCTGCGACGGTGTGTCGTCCCGCAGGCCGCACACGCCATAGTTGTCGTCCTTGTGGTGGCAGCGTGCGTTTTGCACGCACCACGTGCAAGTGCCAAGATTCAGCTTGTTCGACACGGACTTCCGGCCACGGAAGTTCGTGCCCCAACCGCCGCCCGGCTGGCCGTGTATCAGACAAGAGTGACAGTCGCCCAGAGCGGGACAGACACCCGGGCACCGCGTCGTCTGCAGATTCGTCGTGCAGTTGCTGCCTATCGTACGACCGTAGCATATCTGAAACGGCGTCGGGCAAGTTTCGAGATAGGAGAAGCACGTCGCTCGGAGCAGACGCTAGAGATATATCACGATTTGTTGTGCACTGTTGCATAAAAAAATACAGATCTGTGGGGACGGTTTCCCAAACCGAATACCAACAGGACGCGTTGAAGCGAGATCGACAAAATGGCTTACCTCGTCCGCGGAACACCAGCCGCACTCGGGATTCGCCGCGCACTCCATCAGACTCTTGTGCCTCGAGCAGATTTGCTCCGGCTCGATGTAGTCCTCGTCACCGGGTGCGAGCATAGGCGGTAAAGTGTACGCGAGGAGGTCCGCGTTCACGTTGCCGTGATATCCGCCGACGAGCAGCAGGGTGTTTCCGTTACGCACGTCCGCCGCGTGCGCGAATACTCCTTGTTGCTTCGGGTAACGAGAGTCTACCAAGCAGATAAGTCATCGTCAATGTGAATCACGTTGTATCTAAGTTAACGAGTCCTTTCTTCTTTCTTGTCACACAAGGTGAGGCGATAACTATTGTCACTTTGAATATTGAGATGTTCGAAGTGATAAGAGTGACGACTGCTAGCGATATCATTCCTGTTAGATAAATGTTTGCTCCTGCTCTTCCGAAGATATTCAATATAGCTGTAGTAATCGCATCACTCTGTACATCAATACGACTTGCCTTACCTTTATCGTTCAAGGGACCTCCCGACGTTCCCAAGACGTCGTGACTCACCCAAGCGTGACAGCCAAGATGATAAAGATACATCTGATTGTCGTAACAGATCTCTTCCTTGTTGTGCCTGTGAGAATATCCGCCGAACACCACCAGATAATTCCCTACCGAAGAAAAATGCGTTACGCAAGCGTCCGGGAGAATCTGAGAAGCGTGACAACGAGCGTCTCACGAATTCGCCGACGTCATCGGGCCAGCCGGTTACCTATGATGTTGCATGTGTGAAACGCGCGTTCTCTTGGTACATAGGTGTCTCGCAGGTGGGCCCTCGGGTAATGAATCTCAGACCAGACCTTCCGGTCGAGTTGAAACACAAACATCCGGTCCGACAGTTTGCTGAAGCGAGCCACGCTGGCGACCACTCCTCCGTAGACGAGAAGGGAATTGGTGGCGCGATGATAAACGGTCGAGTGAGCAACCACGCGCACGTCCAGCTCCTTGCCGCCTCGTGGCCGCACCTCCGTCCACCTCTCGGTAGTCGCCGTGGGATCCGCTGTAATTGCGCCTTGTGCTAACATTCATCACGGTCACAAAGCGCCAGTCTTTGCGCGCGATCAACACTCCCTTGTGACTCGACTCGGCTTCGCGGGACTTTCAGGTTTCCGCGGAGCATTCATTGATAAAACATGTTTCCTCGCTTCTGTTATTATTTAAAATGGCGAGGAAACGGGAAACTTGACGTTTGAAATATTCGCAAGTCGAAACAATGAGAAGATCGGATGAACGAGAGACGAGAAGTGGAACTCACATAAATGCAATTTGATCTTGTAAAGGCTCGATGAGAATTCACCGTCCATGGTGCTGCCTCCGAACAGGTAGATGTAATCGTTCGCCAACGTTAAGGTGTGCCTCGTGAGTCTGGGCGGATAGAAGGGGGAATTCTTCGCACGCAGAGTCCACACGCGCTTGTTCACGTTGTAATGCCACAGCTCGTTCGACAGGGAGCCGTCCTGCACTTTTCCTCCGTAGACCACGAAGCCATCTGAATGTTGCAGTTGAAAATGAAGATCCCGTCGATTCGGACGGACGAAAGAAGAAAGTCTCCCGAAGTGAAAATCGATCTATCGCCGTGTTACTTTCACAGCGATTAAAGCAGTTGGTCCGTAAATTTATTTTCCTAGGAATATTTTCACCGAGCTTCATAATAGCTTTAATATTTAGGCCCGGCGACAGTGGAATTTTTCGACCACATGCAACGAATCGACCTATTCGTACATCGTGATTGTTGATTATTTTGTGAATCAGGATGTTCCAAAACGGTAGTCGCACGATGCACGATTATGCCGATTCATTGTGTGTGATGAAAAAATTCCATCGCCATTAGGCCGTAATAAATATTAAGGCTATTATGAGGCTCAGTGTGCTGCACACATGACACCGACAGTACGTACATATGATATGTTCACAAGCATATGCCTAACACGGACAGTCCCAGCCAAAAGTATCGTAAAAGTATTATACAATGCGAAAAACGCCTTATCTCCTTATGAGTTTCTAACCATTACTTAAGATTAATTTTCTTAATTTTTTACTTTGGCAACGTCAAAGCTGTATACGGTGAAATATGTTTGCAAATCTTTAACACAGACTTGCCGAGCTTCTTCGCGTCGTGTCAACCACCTTTCTAACATTTAAGTACCAGCTACCTTAACCGCACGATGCGCGACACGTGGGCGGTGAGAATCTCCTCTCGCGCGATGTGAGGAACATCTCTCATCGCGCTTTTTCATCAGCGCAGGTTAGCGAGACACACCTTGGTATTTACAGGCAGCGTGGCCATAACGAGGGCTCGGTTTCGGCATCTCGTCGATCGTTGGTACGGTGACTTCCTCCTTCAGCGACTCGCCCGTGGTTAACTTCGGGTCCATGAACTCCTGCATGAAGATGTTGTCCTCCGCCGGCCCCGCCACGACTTGCTCCTCCCACTTCACGTCGTCGGCCTGAACGTCCGCGGCGTGACGTTCCCTATATAAGTCTCCCAAGTTTCTGCGATATCTTCAAGAAGCAAAGCCAACACACGGTCAATAAAAGATAATCCACAGCTACCTAAATCTATCCTAAATAAAGCGCGCATTGAATAAGTCGAGACCCGATGAAGATACAGGAAGTTTTATGAAGAAGACGATGAAGTACCACCACTTACTAATTACCTTCTCGCCGACATCGGCAAATATCGCGGCCTTACGATTCGTGGGTGCTTCCTACGGGAGTCGTCGTTCCTGTCGATCCTGATGGTGCTCCTGCTCCTTTCGTTCTCCTTGTCTTTGGGCCTGAACTCTCTGTGCTGGCCGCCCTCAGCGTTCGTGCGGTCGAATCGGCCGAACGTGTTGTTATCCCTCATACTGTACAGCACCTTCCAGATCAGGGACGACGTCGGTATCCCGTATATTTCCTTAGCACCGGACCCCATGCGTTCCAGTTCCGTGGCGATCAACATGGGATCCAGATACTCGACGGACGCGGCACCTTCTGAAAAATGTCGCACGCACATTTGTACACACAGTTACGAACACAATGAACACAATAAAAGTAAAACTGGCAGTTCACGTTACGTGACGTCGGAGACTAAGCGAAGTTCAACATTTTTTTTTGCGCCGCTAGTGTGGGATTAAAGTCACGTGAGCGCTGCAATAAGCATCTCATAAATTGGCACTTCAACGAATATATAACGGAAGTTACGACAGATTGCAGGGGGAGAAAATGCTGCAAATTGGCGTAGAAATCTCACTTAACGTTCGAACGTCCATAATACTCACCTATCACATTTCCATACTCGTCTTCCCACTGACTGGTGCTGAACCTGTACACCTCCAAGTCGCTGAGTATATAATTGAGATCGTAGCCTCCAAAAACGTAAAGTGAGTCTGTCTCGTGAACGTAAACCGCGGTGTGAGCTGCCCGTGGTCTCAGTCCGCCTTCTGAATGCGAGAGCCAGTGCCACCTATGCAGAGAACAGATCGATCAGTCTTAATCATTCATCTTCACTCCAACGATCCAAAGTCTACTCGTTGCAACACAGGACGTTAAAGCGGTGCCTTTACAAGATTATTTTATTCGTTGATGTAATAAATATGAATTACAACTCGAACACATATACGATCTCGAGATAACTCACCGGTTCCCCTCAGGATGACTTTTATGCAACGAGCAAGATTGCCCGGAATATCCGTTGTTGCACTCGCACCTTTTCACCCCGCAAGCACCGACGTTGCTGCAATTGTTCGGGCAGAGAGCTCGGGAGCAATCCTTACCTCCCCAGTCGTTCTCGCAGAAGCACGTATTGTTGATGCACTTCCCGTGGCGGGTGCAATTGTTCGGGCAGTTCGTGACTGAAAACTCCGCGTGAAAGCCATCCAGTACGTAATTCGTGTCGCTATACAACAATATCAGCATCTGCAAGGAAAGCGTGCGATTTCATTGCTCGATCTCTCTTTTTTTCTTCTTTCTTATCACTGTTCGCTTCAATCATACTGCTAATTGTATCACGTTCGGAAATCTAGTCTCTCGGAAGTAATCATAACAGTCTTTCGCGTTCATCGCACGGCAATACAAGCCGACGCCATTAGAAGAATGCGGATAACGAGCCGCTGGCAAAAACTTGAATCTGCAATCTGCGTTATCTATATATTGTTGATCGTCGCCGGTTATGTACTTACATAACCAGACGATGATGTCACTTGCTGCGGCTCCGTTTTTCCACTGAAGCTGCCCAGAAGCGGTGAACGAAAGGAGTCCCCGTCGTAAACGAATACATAATCGTAGCTGCACTCTGTGCCCATCGTGCGAAAACTTAACGTGATAAATTGACGGCTGTGATTAGCTGCAAAGAAGGAAAAGAAATAAAGAAGCGAGTCTCGGATATACGAAATTTACTCAACTTTTTCATCCTCCGTCATCGCACGCGCGAATAATACACCCGATCTCCCTGATCAGGTCGACGGAATTGCCCTTCGTCCGTACCTTTAATGAGCCACTCGCAGTGAGAGTCTTGAGTATAATTTGAGCCTAGAGGCCCATCGCTGATGACGCCCCATGTGTCCGTGAAAACCTTCCTCGTCTTATCGCACGGCACTTGCTTCGGAGATGCCTGAGGAGCTAAGTTGAAGCCCCGCATCAGGCAACTCCATATGACGACCCATGTTGTGGTGGATATCACCCACCCCATCACAGCGTATTCACCTCACTGTTGTTCAACAGCATACACATCATCACCCGTGCGCATTGAATTGTTTCTTGAGCAGTTACGCAGTATCGCAGCAGGGATCATAGCTGAAACAAAAAAAAAAGAGAGACACGTACTTTTTATCTTATGCATACTTGGATCTCTAGTGTGAAGTTTCGTACAGCTTCAAATATAATGAAGGTGATAACCCGGGGAAAAAAAGGTCATGTATGAAATTTGCCCATATGTGACTATATATAATTATATATAATTATATATTATCATATATAATCATTTTTTCCCAGGAATGTGCAACGCAATTGTTTAGTGGGTAAAAATGTAGAAACGCACGAGAACCAAATGTTGCGCACCCTGCGGTAAATTTAACACTAGAACAAGAGCTCCTCTTATACGCAATATTTTTATCAAGTATACATTGATAATACAAGAATAACAAAGCAGTTATCAGACTGCATTATGCTAATATTAAGCTTGTGACGCTAAAAATTTTTATCAGCTGTTTATTCAGGTATCACTCGTGTTTAAAGATCCTCTGGTATATCATATAGAAATAACAATTTGCTCGCAACAAACACGCGCACACACACACGCGTGTGCAAACACACACATACGCGTACTACTCGACAGATTACAAGCTATATAAATGCAAACATATTTCGGACGGTATCCTCTAATTTCATTGGATATTTTCACAAAGCTTGAAGCAAACCGCAGCGAGACGTTATAGCAGACGCACAAAAAATATGCATTAATCAACACGATAAAATCTGTAAAGTGAAAACACAATCGAAGTTTATTATTTCTGACTTTGATATGTCGATAATGTTTTTTTATCTATATTTGCAAATTTGTCGCGCATCTCTCTCTTTCTCTCTCTTACTCTCCCTTATCATCACGATTTATCGTTATAATCACATCCGAAGTTTGCTGTCACGCGGCGCAGAGGTGGATCAGCGTGCAGAAGCGAACGTCGATCGACGGGGGAACGCTCGGCGACTTTTCCAATAAACAACCGAGAAAGCGCACGGCGAGATATTCGCGAGCAACGTGTACTCCGTATAACGCATATTGAAGGACAATCTCAGAAGCGAGCGAGCGAGCGAGCGTGAATGCAAGGCTCTCTCGGCTCCTGATCAATTTGCAAATAAGCACAAATAAGCAAATGACACACACGCACACTCGTGCAGGCTCGCGCACGCACACGTATAACGAATGTCCATGAACTTTCCGTACTTATCACGAGACGACGGCGACGACGACGACGAGGAGGAGGAGAAGGACGACGAGCGCAGCATAACAAACCACGGACTATCGCCTGTTAATACTGTTCCTCAGTGTTGACTGGACTCGAGCGGGCTCCCGAGGACGGTCACACCTTCGTCGGCGAAGGGACGGAGTAACGCAGCATCCTGCGGCAGTAGAAACGGTGACAGCGAAAAGAGGCGCGAGAGCGAGAGAGAGAGAGACGAAGTGGTGAAGCGTGTCAAAACATCGCGGAAACGAAAGTCGCGCTACCCGAGTCTGCCACTGCTTCTGTCGACGGACGTCTCTCTCTCGCGTGCGCGCGCGAAAGAGAGAGAGAGCGTCGCCGTCGGGCCGAATCGGCGCGATAACCTCTTTGAGAAAAGAAACGGGATGTGGGCGATACGGGGAATACGTCGGGCGAGCAAGTCACATAAACGTAAAACACTAGCCACGACGGTGGCTCGCCTCGTTGACACCTCGATTACCTCGCTATATCACTCTCTACGATCGCAGCCCGGGTGGGGGGGGAAGCCACGGTGGCTATTACGGCCGCCGGCGATACTTGTCGAGGCATCGAGACGACGTCGCGCGTAACCTCCCGCTCCAAGTCGCGAACTTGTCGACTCCTCGGTCCGAGTCGAAGTCGACGTGCGCGGCGCGACGATCGCACCGAATTGAAACTTTCGAAAGTATTTCGCGCGCGTTGTTTCTCACATTTTTTGACGAAAAAACTGAAAGATATTGTTGCGTATTGTGTGCTTAGCCAGTGTGCGAGGAGCACCGTATGTATTATTGTATATCTGTGCTATATAAATATTTTATTTTCATATGTACGCTAATTTTGATAAAATTAAACTTAACAATCGACTTGCTATAAAAATAATTTTATCATCCCTTTTTTTTGAATGAGATTATTTCCTTTCTCATAAAGATCTTCATATTTAGATGTTCAAATAATTCAGCTTTTTGGAACCAACGCCATTACACTATGTTTTTACCTTCAAGTATTATACAGTTTAAACAATTTTTTTTCTTCCACTTATATATAAAAGTTACGAATTTTTAACTGAAATCCTGCTTATTCGATGTTTCTGTTTCAATTTCAATCTGTGAAAAATAAATAAAATGCAATTCGAATTTTACGATTGTAAAAATTTCTTGTTAAAATTTTCACAAACACACGAGAACTTTTTCAAATTTTTACACAATCCGGAAAACAGTGTAAAAAACATGCATTTCTCTCAACGATCCAGATTGCCCACAATAGGTGCTAAATTCAACATTGCCGACGGAAGGTTAAAACATAAATTTCGATCCTGTTTGCAGCATTGATATAGATTATTGTATATCAACGACAAAAAACATATTGGTAATAAAATATTGGAATTGTTCATGCCATCAATTAGTGCAAATATTCGTCACGATATTTTAGCCTGCGATTGTTCTGTATAACGCAAAACTCAGTCGCTGCTTCAAAAACACTTTTGAATCTCGACAGCTTTAACGGAGTAACAATTAGAATTAAAAAAAAATGTGAAGACGAACAGAAAGGAAGATTGGGATTACTTATAGCTATTGACTCGCGGCAATGACAGGCATATTTCGGCAATATAAATGTTTTATTATCTCGGCAAGAATAAATTATTTCAATCCTCGGTCGTTGTGCTGCACAACTTAAACGCGGGAGAAAATGGGAAATAGACAAACGCGTTATTAGAAATCTTAATTACGCTTCGGGAATTTTTCGTTTAAAACAGCTCGAAGACCGAGACACGCTTTTTTATTTTAATCGCAATATAATACGACTCTGCCAAACTTTTCAAATTTGCTAATTGGCGCACGGAGTTGCTCAGATCTTAAATAAGGTATCGTAATCAATGTAATTTGTGTAAAAGGATCAATCTGTTCTCCTTTTCTCAACTGATGACCGAGATGAAGCGCAATTGACTTTCAAAAAATTGCACGTATCGCGGCTTTATAAGATATAAATTGATTTCCTTTTATCTATTTTCTCCTGCTCCTTATTCGGTTAAAACTTGTACATCTATCGTAAAATATTCAATAAAAACTGGAAATCAACTCACTCTCTCTCTCTCTCTTTCTCTCTCGAGAGCACGAATAATTTCTCACAAAAAGTGTGTCGAATCGTGACGCCTCCTGGCGTCCGTCACCATTTTCATCTTCTAAAGCCGATACATTGAATCTCCTATTACATCACTACAAATCGCCATTATGTGAAACTGCAAATTCATCATCATCTCGAAACACACCGCGCGAACGAATTCATAATAATAAAGGAAAATTCATAATAATACAATAATAATAATAATATCGAAGCTCGATAGCCTCTCCTAAAGTTTAACCCTTTGCATTTCGAACGCCTATCAGTGTTAATATCGTACTATCGTTAATACACTGCGAAGATAAGACCAAGGCAATAAAAGAAACGAGAAAACAAGAGAATAAGTAAACCACCACCGCATAGCGCAGCGGCGTTAATCTCACAGTAACGTACAGATGATATATTTGCCATTGACCGTCAATCAACAAATGTACTGTACATTTCCAGAGTCTTAACGATTGATACAATCGCTCTGTAGCCGTGTAGCTTTTATTCTCTTCTACCAATGCGATACACATTACCTTCTCTGGTGAAAAATCTCTAAAAGATACTCGCGTGCCGCTTGTACCTCAGACAGCAGAAATGTTCGGAAGACGATCGTAAAGACGTCGTAGAGACGTCTAAGGAATTTAGAATATCTCTTGGACGTCTCCACGACCGTCTTTCGGAATTTTGCACTATCTGAGACGTCAGACTTAACGCTGTCCCACTTCCCTAGACACAGTAACAGTGAAAACTTCCAAAAAGATTTGGCGTGTTATTTTTTAATATTTGTGCACAATGATTGCTGCTTTGGAGAATCGTTGCCGATTCATCAAATTATCAACAGTCATGATGCGTAAACAATTCTTGCGATTGGCAATTTGCAATACCATTATGTTCAGGGAATGGGACGGCATTAATCCCGTATAGCACAGAAGCTTACAATAACATTGCTGCAATTTTGCGTTGCAACAACGTTAACATTAACTTTCGTGTTACATGGGACAGAGCCTGCCGCTACGTATGTTATCAGGTGTAAAATGTGTTTATTTCCTTCAACCCTTCAGCCGGTAGATCAACCCTTTGCGCTGCGAAGCGTCAACTTCAAGTACTATCACTATACACTATAATAATATTGTATAACAATAGCGCGTGTAATATTAGCAGTAGAGATTTTATCGATAAATTATCATAACCGTCACACCGACAATACTAATGTATTATATAATATAATACTAATGTATTATATAATATTATCATTATTACGTAATAATATTGAGGAAACAAGTAATATATTCTTATCTCTCTCTTTCTCTCTCTCCAACTTTTTCTAATCCCTTCAAGAATATTCGTTCAAAATTCGTCATCCACATTCGTCTCGTCGAGTTGTCCAGGTCTCCTCAAGTGTGACTTGATTTCTCTTCATCGTCAGTTATTGTTAGTGATAATTCAATTCCAATTGTCCAATAAAACCCAGCAATAGTCTCATCAGCTCCCCTAATGTCTCGTCGAACGGTAGACCCGTATAAATATGTTGAATAATAAATCTTCTCAGTAGCTTCCCGTACAAACGTATATTCCACGACGATCTGACCGTTGGACCTTTTAACATTCGACACCGTGATGACCAAAGTGCATTCCGAGCGCAAAGTGTTGGCTCTCCACTTATCTCCGTGGGTAGAATCGATTAATCCTGCCTCTTTTCCTATCCTTAATACGACATGACGCGAGTTGTATCGTGATATCAAAAGTCGAGAAGCGGACGGTGCGGTCTCGTTCGCATCACAAGAGTTAAGAATGGACAAAGCTATCGGTTGAAGGGTTTGCTAGCCCACCCCCCCCCCTCTCCCCAAGGAAAAAGAAGTAAATGATCTGCATCTGGGAAACCTACTAATGACTCCAATTGTAACGGTTTCGACCTCACGTGTACACGTGTATACGTGCAAGGCTGAAACGTTCCACGACGAGTCCTTCGAGACGTCCGTCGAGTCGTCGGTCCGTGGAGAGGTTGCAGATTATTCGTCGCAAGACTACTTAAAATGAGCGAAACCACGCATCGACGCGTCACATCGGTGTATACATGTGTGTATGTGTGTGTGTGTGTGTGCGCGCGCGACGGAAAACAGAATAAAAAAAAAGATGCATGATGATACGTGGTATCTCAGTGTTCTTTTGTTATTTTTTTTCCTCTCAACGATTTTTCCTTTATTTCCTTCGATCCTTCTCTTTCTCGTTCGTCGAATAACGCGCGTTGGACAATGTCCCGTGGATGGGCGATATAAATAAATGAATATGAAATATTTCTCCTATGCGACTACGAAAAATAGTCTACCTTACGATCTTATTAAAACTTGAGGTACAGCTGTCAAAAGGCAATTCGAGGCGCGAACACTCGCTCTCGCCTTCGCGCGATCTTTCATTTGACAGCTCGTGTGTAAAAGTGTGTATCAACTAATGGCATCGTTTGCTCTCCGAGTACAAGCGATCTGCACTTCTTCTTCTTCTTCATCATCTACCTCTGCTTACTTTTTGCTTCATGTAAAACCCCCCTTTTTCTTCCCTCGTTTTTGTATAATATAACATTTCGAATCGGCGGCGGAAGAGGTACAGGAGGAGCGAATGTTTCTTCCTGATCCAAATATATATACCTGAAGACACTTTTGTACTAAAAACACAACTCCCGCGCGTCGGTCTCTGTCGCGAGCAGGACTCGTCGCGGGAGTTAGGATCGTCCTCTATCTAGACTGCGCCGGATTCATTAGTACTGAGAAGGTCCTCGTTAAAAAGTTACTACGTAGTATATAGGATGAATAGAAATAGCTGTATGCCAGTAGCTTGCTGACCGAATTGTCAATCTTCGATCTTTGCTAATGGAGAACGCGCGATCTGGCTGTTTCGATCGACTGACTATTAAATAACATTGGGACCGTATTCTCGGAAAAGATAGATTTCTACTATCTTTCTGCTCTTTCAAACAGCTTGGATCATTGAATCGCGAATAACTGAATCTTCGGACTGCCGGATCATCATTCGTACATGATCCTATTAGCGAACGCTCGAATTGAAATCTCTGGACATTCGGAAGCAACTGCAACCTCCGTCCATTTGTACAGTTTCGATCTACTGAAGCTTAAAACTATCGTTGATCTAGAATTTTCTCGAATTTTCCTGCTTTTCAATATTTCGATTAAGAATTGTTGAAAAGATTCGGACGAATGAAACTTGAAACGTAAGTAATCGTCTTGCTTAAATCGACCAGCACACGTTTCAGGACCTCCAGACCGTTCTCTCGTTGGACAACGAACAAAATTGACTCAATTGTTTCCCTTTCACGAGTATCCCGGCTACACATACTCTTTCCGACACGTGCTGCGCAAAAATGCGCAGAAAAACGGACCGATCGGAGGAATGGTACGCGCGAAGAATAGTGAAATTCGGCTGATTTTTCTCCGCGCATCGTCACGTCTTATATCGATACCTTGAAGTATCAACAATCAACGTCAAGATTCGACTTGCAGGAATAGCGCTCACCAAGATCCGTATAGCTTCGCTTAGTCTAATATTCATCGTCAGATGTGATCGTTCATCTCGGAATGTTTCGTCTAACGTGTGAAAGAAGAAAAGCGCAAAGACTTCAGAAACATCCATTTATCAGACGTCTTATTGTTTCAACGTCCTTTGGCAATGTTTCAAACGTCTCGGGACGTCTTGATGTTCTCTCTGGGGAATATATCGCACGCTTGACATTCAAACACGGAGATCTCGGTGAGCTCTTTCGTCAAGTCCTCAAGATCCAACGCAGAGCAACGCTCGATCGTTCCGCTCCCGAATTATTTACACACACATACACACACACACATACAAATACGGTGTCTGCGTGTCTCACAGATCTCAGAAGTAGAGACGAATCCTCGGTAATACTATCAGCTAGAAATGTAGCGCGAATGATAAGTTACAAAAAGATCTCCTCGTCGTCGTCGCGTCGCGTAGGATCCCTCTTGCTGATACACCCCGATCAGAACCACGAGAAGAAGGGCTTCTTGAAAGAGAAGCATCAAAGGCAATCCTTGGCGGCTTCGTCCTCTCCGTAAATCTCCGGCAGCGCAGTCGGTTGTCCGCATACCAGGCCGGGCATGCTCTTCGTCTTCATCGAATGACCGAACGTGTTCGCACACACGCTAAAGTCTTTGGTCATCTCGCTGATCTCTATACTCTCCTGTCGCTCGCAATTGGCCGATAATTTTAACGCCGGCACAGAATATATGCCGTCACCACCAATACCGTTCTTCCCATGCGACGTGGCCGTCGACGGTTGACCCAGGTAAAATTCCTGGCAGAAACATTACTTCAACTTAGTTTTTTCTGATCCTTACATTTTTGAAGCTGCGAATTTCATGGTACAGTCAAGATTGATTGATGAAAAAGAATCTTTCAAGGGGATACCAAAGTCGATGACTTTAATCGTATAATATTTTAAATTGTTACATTTAAGAAAGATGGGCGATGTCGAAGGAACGAATTTATGAATTTGTCGATTATCGTTCTTCCGTAACATCTATCGTAAAAGATTTTACCTTCTCTGCGTTGAGTGGAGCAGGCATCTGCGGTTGTACGGCTGTTTGATTGCACTGCGCCAAGGCTATCAACTCCTTCTGATTTTCCCTGGCGTCCACGAGGAATATACTCTCTTTCACTTCTTTCGCGTTATACTCGTCGATTCTGAAAGCGATATATTTTGAAATTTTATTAATATTAATAATTAACACTGTTATGAATATAATAAATAAAATAAATTGTATAATATTTATAAAATGTTATAAATATTATAAATACAACATCAAATTATATATTACAAAACTCACTTATATAATATAGCATATGGCAAATATATACAATAATATCTTTTAAAAGCAACTCTATTTCGATCTTCAATCTTATTAAACTGTTGGCTATCTCGTGCTTGAATTCGTCAAGTAACTTACTTATCGTATATAACCGCGTGCAAACCCAGTTGCTTCAGATGTTGGATGGTAGCCTTGTCGTTGTTGTCGTCGCCCCAGCAGAAGATGATCAGCCCCGCGTCTTTGACCAGCTTAACCTGAGACGGATCCCGAAGGAGGTCTTCGGTGTGGACGTTAATTCCCAGGATGTCCGCAGCCAACGCTTGTCTCATGGCCATCGGCACCGTTTGGCAGCGCGGATCGTGATAAGTGGGATATTTCAGCGTGATGCCTTGCGTCAGGAATACTACCGGATATTTGTTCTGCTTAAGGCGAATCATTGCACAGATATCCGGATTGAATGAGGAGAACACGATTTTCCGATCACCACCGTACTCTAATACCACTTTCAGGATGATGTCTAGGTACAAGTTGAGGTCGAATGGGTGATTGAGCTCGAACGTGCCGTCCTGGTGACAGAGAGGTCAAAATTTATCCCTCGTTGTGCCGTACTTGATTATCATCGAAAGAGAGAGAGAGAGAGAGAGAGAGAGAGAGAGAGAGAACATTCCCACCTTCAACTGCATGGTCCATTTAATCTCGATGTTGCATCCGACGTGTTGCTCCAGCTCCTGGAGCACATTTTGCAGCGTGGGGAAGGGCTGATGGTCCTCCAAATCCTCATCGAAGAATCTCGGATTTTTCTCTCGGGCTTCGGCCACGTGATAAACCTGAAAGAAAATACACCCCCCCGTTAATGAGATGTACGAGCACACGCATGAGGCGAACGTGAGAATTATAAGAGTTGGTCAAGTGTAGATATCACATCGTCGCCGAGGCGATTAACGTTCCAAGCAAGACAAGACAGAATAAAAAAACGTATTGACTTGATGCGAACATACATATCGTTTGGGACTTCGTGCCGTTCATAATTATATTATCACTCGCATGCTAGGTTGACGAAAGCTGTATAATAAGGTGTGTCGGAAACCTTTTAGGACTGAGCCGCGGCGGAGACGGCTATGAGAAGCACGGAAGGAGAAGCGACTGACGACGAGGTCTCGTCGGCTCTCGGCTTCTGGGCTAACAGTTTTCTCTTTTGCGAAAATATATCCGGAGAAGATTCCTGTCGCGACTTCTCCGAGCGATTAGCTCAGTCCTGAAATTCTTTCCCTGCGCGCTCCGCACAGAATCCAACCCACAAATGTGTGACAGCATTTGATATGAAGTTGGGGGAGGAGAGGTGAAAACAGCAAGGAAGATCGCTCGCTTTCTTCGCAATATTCGGTACTGATGGACTTGATCGCTCGATAGCTTTTGAAGGTGCATGCAAGTCGAATGAGCGTGTACTGGCTCGGCGAGTTGGCCGACGTAAGCGGTATGAAAGCTCACCAGTCTGTTAACCCCCTGCTCAGCTTTATCAACGAAATAGAGCACCTTACCCAACGAGTCTCCCGGGTAACAATAATCCTGAATATTATAAAAGACTGAATATAAAATACAGACAGAGACATTACGAGCGAGTAATTTCTTTTTGATGCGTTGTGTATGTGCGAGTGGAGATGGGCGTTTACGTACGACGTACCGCTGTGACGTAGTAGTCTATATTCTCTCCCTTATTAAGAAAAAAAGTACATAAAAAGCGAAACATCGATACGCGAGGCATTCTCGTGGAGATGTATCCCGCGCTGAGAGTCATGTTAAGTGAGACGGAGACCATTATGGCGGATGCAACGTGTTAATTAAGCCGGTGGAAAGTCGGCGAGTGATCGAGCGATTACGACCATCGACTCGAGAACTCGTGAAAATCCAAAAGCGTCGGCACACAAAGTGTGCCGGCAACCGATCTTAAATCTCTTGTTTACGAGATTAATCATTTCAGGCGTACAATCCTTCCGCGGGCTTAATCGCATGTCCCGGGTACAACATTAATCTCTAAGCTTAATTTAGCGCACACAGTCATATTCTCTATAAACATTATACATTTATATATCATCGTAAATATAACGAAACATAATAAAACAAATATATATATATATATATATATATAAACTATATTTGTTCAGTGCTCTATGTAAATTCCACATAAGTCACATTAATGATCAGCATTCGTGTGCACCTCAAATCAAACATCGATCAATGAAAAGTAAATACGTAAGAAACAAGTATACAAGTACGTCCGGGGTATCTCGAAAATGCAATAAATGAAAATGCATGACATAAGAGACGTGAGAGATATCGTCGCAATATGGATTGGATTACCTTGAGTAGATGCAGCTGCTCTAAAGTGAGATCTTTAACGGGTATCTCCAGCATGTCCATAGCCTCTATCTGCTTCTTACGCTTCAGCGAAATGGATACGTAGAAGTCGTGGTAGATCACAGGAATGTGATCCTTCGAAAGCTGGACATCGAACTCGACCATGTCCGCGCCATGATAAGCTGCGGTCTTCAGAGACGCGATCGTATTTTCCCGCACATTAGCACAGCTGTAAAAAGACGATAACGATATTCGGTTGAATTATAAGAACAATGTAACGTAGAAATTCATCGTAGTGAGAAATAAGGACAAGAACGTATTTATAATTTTCTATCAACTTTTAACTTTAGTAAGTTAATATAATTTTAGCTTAACTTTTAGTTAAATTAGTTTTTATCTAGGTGACTCTTAATTAAATTAATTTTATAGGCCATTAATTTTTAACTTGATTAAAAATCTAACTTACCTCCAACCCTGATTTATAATTAAGAAGTTATTCAAGAAGCGATTGTAATCGTGCCAAGATTTCAGATTTTGGCTTTCTAAATATAAATCAAGTGTATAAACAGCCTTTAAATTCAAGCATATGTATACATGACAGATCAAATTACTTTTTCGTTTCAAACTTAAAGGAAGTGCCAAGTCCTCGGTGTCCTACGTCTAAGCCTGACCACCGTTGCTCCCAATGCTTCGCGTACGAAATGCTCATGTCCCATGGGTAGTCCGGGATTGGTTTTATAACAACATACTCTATCGTCAATTGTCCTGTCGCAGACGAAACAATGCATATAAGATTGCTATACGGATCAATTGGTTGCAACTTCCTCCTGGTTGGAATCATTGATCTCCTTTCACCGAATTCTTATGTAAAATATAAGAACGTTTCTTTTTTTGACGGTACTCACCAATAGGTCTATGTTTTGTACTAGTGATTGGTACGGTCAGAAGCCCGACGCTAGACTGTAAAGTACTCGGCAAGATGTAGCTAAAACCGATGTGAGTCGGTGGTTCTCCTGGGAAACACCTTGAGCTGTACACGTAGTAGTCCACTAAGTATGCCTGGAAAAACAGTCTACTTAATGCTTCATCGAAAAGACCTAGCACCGTGAACAACACCAAAATATGTTTCTTTCAATACAATTTTAGCTCATCCACTTTTCGTGCTTGCTTCAATATTAACCAAGTCCTATAATCAAGGACAGGAAAACTAGAACAGTTGTAATGCTTCAGTTCTATTTCGTTATTGAATTAAGAATTTTGTTTCTTTCTTTGCCACAACAATTGCTATTGCTCGAGACGAAAGCACCGGCGATAAGATGTATCCCGTTCAACGAATCGCGATATATTCCTCGAACACACATGAAATCGCACGGAGCCGCCGCCAGGAGGCTCTCGTTATGCTTTACGGACGGCGTGACGGCGGAATTTGGAAACGCTTGTCGAATCGTTGATAGGCAAGAGCAACAAATTTCTGGCAAAAACACGGCCTGAACAAGTGGAAAGATCAACTCCCTATGTAAACTAACAATGAACCGGACCAATAATTGCCAAATGCTGTTCACTGCCTGGTGACGCGTATTCCGCAACACCTGCCGAGATCATTCAATGTTAAATTTCGAGAGAGTGTGTGAGAGAGAGAGAGAGAGAGAGAAAGAGAGAATGAGTGAAATAGAAATAGACAAAGATAAAGAGCAAGTCAGCAACGTTTGCAATTCGGATTCAGAAGATACCGACAGCATAGATTCTGGCATTGGCCGCGCAGCGGTGACACGTACGGTACAGAAGAAGTCGGTCAGAGCTAGAAAATATTAGCAGTATACTAAAAGGATATAGGACTGATGGGAATCTCACCATTTTCGACGCACACAGATGGATATGAGATGTGACAGCGTTGATATCGCAACATTTTCAGGAGGTTACGGAAAGGCTGTGACTCGCGTAAATCGATAGAGGCTGAATGGAGAGAACGGAATTAAAATGGAATGAATCGTCGTTAACAGACTACGATCTCATTGATCGACGAACGTGCGCGAATTTTAAGAAACTGGAAAGAAAACGCGAGATACATACATGATAGTGCGAGACGACTTACGAAAGCCCAGTCTGAAGGATGGGTCTGGTAGGGTGAACGACAATCAAAACCATCATATCTCTGTGTGATGTCATGTGACACAGATGTAAAGTGGTAGACGATGCTTAGCATCGATACATCAGATTGCATGTTAGCATCATCATTTGCACCAGAGCTCTTGCTTTTGTACAAGTCGAACAGGTCTTCTCCGTGTTCCCGGGGACCGGACACCGTGCGAGCACGCCACTGCTGGCATTTCCCAGGAGGGAGATAGCTGCTGGACAAGTTTAATTATCGTTTACCAAGTAATTCGATCAAGTCGCGCGAGGAGACGTGGCCAGCCTACTCGTGGTCTACTGAAAACTCACATGGTATGGTCAATGCGTATTCTTAGTGTGTTCATCTTCTCGTTTCGTGAATTACCACTAACCAGTCATTTATTGCTCTGCCGTATCAACGATACCTCTTATCTATTCGTATTCGTTTCTTTGTTCTCGCTAGCGCAATCATGAGCGCAAGTTCCCCTCCTNAGAGAGAGAGAGAGAGAGAGAGAGAGAGAGAGAGAGAGAGAGAGAGGGGGGGGAGAGAAATCGAATAAACAATTTTAATCTGTGAAATACTGATCGACGGGGGAGGGGGAACAACATCAGTGCGTAATTCCAGATTTTGTCGTTGCGTGAGTGTGTAACGAAAGCGGATGTGTCATTACTTTCTTTTTTGGACGCATAACACGCTAGAAACTGATCGATTGAAACATGGGATTGCGCTAAACGGTACGACACGTATCACTAGAGCCGCAAGCGATGCAAGCAATAAATCCCAGCCAATGGTTTTTCACATAATCGTGTAATTCGTATGATGCTGTTCAGATGAGGCTCGCTGTGCGGAAACTTACGATCATTTCAGGATAACGAACGGCAACGTCGAAGATTACAAATTCGTCTTCATTGTATGGACGACCAAATTGCTCCTGGAATTTGAACCTAGCCTCTTCGTCATTCATCACCTGCGAGAATGCGCGCGAAGCGTGTTACTCGTTACTGGCTGGAATCTTGCACAACGGGGATCTTAGATAGAGGAGATACTTGAGATACTTACAGCAATTTCCGTAATACTGGTAAAAGCGGGTTGATCAACAATATCCTGCGTATCCATAGAAAGACTATCGTCTACACAGTCGCCTCCAAATTGTTGCAGTTCTAGAGAATTATGCCTAACTAGATTTACAGGTGTCATCTGTAATACAAGTTAGGCAAAAATGTAATTGAGGGGCGAGTCAATCGTGAGATACTCCATCTTGAAAGTCGCACGCGCTCACAAGCTCGGGGGAAAGCCACACGCAACATTTCTACTCATTCCTAACTTGTCTGATATAGTTTACTATTCTATTATTTTCACGATTAATAATTCATCGATTCCTCGTTTTAAATTTTAAATGCGAGAGAGGAGAACATGCGAACACAGAAATAGAAGATGAAAAAACATAGTAACATTTTGACCGCCGATGACGAGAATTCTCGTCACTTTGGACTTTGCTGCCGCGAAAATGCATTTTCTCGTCGTGAAATATTTAGGACTGGTCGAAAATAGCGTGGCAGTGAAGGAATTAACATACCTTAATGTGAACTTTTCTGTTCTGCAGTCGGTTCTTCCAGAGTTTAATAGGATTGTTAAAAATCTTAAATTGTATCACAGTTTCATCTGTCAACCAGCCTCGCTCGATTTTGTAGTAACCATTGTAGAAACCGAATTTGTCGGGATCTGGCAACATATCTTCGGCAAAATTGCTCGGTACTGCAAGAAGAATTGTTTGATATTATATGTACAGTTTCCAACGTTCCCAGATAATATCTTCAGGTGTACCGCGTTCTGCGAACGGTTCGTTTCGCGCAATGTTTACAGAGCACTTCAGTTACGCACATTATCAAGCGGAAAATATCGTCCGACGAGTACGTACCATTTTTTCTGATTAACCGTGGTACCATGTGAGTTTCCCATTTGCGGATAATCAGAGTCTTGGCTGAATTTTTAGCGCCGTTTGATTGGCACACGACCGCTATAAAATATCGAAACTCGATATCAGCATCGACGGGAAGGGCAACCTTTTGCGAGAATACTCGTCCATCCCTAGAAAAGAGCGCATTTCGAGGCATTAATTTCATGAAACAACGCACCAGCGGAATATCTGTGATATCAGGAAACATAAGTAATTCTGCACACGAACTCACTCTTCTTTTTCATCATCAAACGTGCTGTCGGCTGCATTGTCCTGCCCGTCCTCAATATAAAATTCACCGCTGCTATTACTGTTATCGAACACTATAGGAGACTCCCTCCGACTGCTGTGCTCCTGCGACATCAAGATAGCCTGGTTGTGATTCCAGGCCCCCAATTCGGGCAGGTTTCCAACCACGTAAACGACTTCATTTTTCTCCAGGTGAGATACCTTAGGGTATAAAACGAATATAATAATTGCAAATGCAGGTAGATGTCAGATCTTAAAAATATACTGTTGGGAATGAAGAGTTCCCGCGAGGGAAGAGGGATCTCTTCCCTAGGAGTGCCATTGTTTTGTCAATTACCTGGACTCTAAAGAGCCAGTCCTTTTTCGACTCCTTCATGCTGGAATTCTGTGTGACTGCCACTTCGAGGACGTTAAATTCACGTGGTACTTGTTGTTGGATATCCTCTTTGCTTTCCTCCTCTAAAAACAATATTCATCGTACATTAGTACGTTCTCTTATTCTCTGAAATTTTACTTTATAATTCTGTTCTGTCCTAAGATACAATTAGAATGTATAATCGTACATGAATATTGTATGATCACATGCGATAACATTTTTTGTACTGAAAGTTTTTTCTTGTACTAAAAGTACATTTTCTCATACTGAAAGAAACAACTCGGTCAGGATAATTCCTCTTAATACAGGTAAGAAAACAGCCTATATGGAATAGAACCAGAGGAGGAGAAATCAATGTTTCTGAGAATTATCCTGATAAAATTTCCTGTAGATTGACAGCAAATATATAGTCAGGCGCGTATTACTGAGAATAATCAATCTATGACGCACCTATTCAAAATTACTATATCATATTTCACTATTTGCTCTGCTGAGCCTAAGTGATATGTGCTGTAGAATTCACAAATTATTCAATCGACACAACAACATTTGCACACGTAAGCCGCAAATGATGGAAAGAGAACGAGCAATTCGACGATTCCGTAGAATTTCTGCGGAACTGCACAGCAAAAAAACTCGGCACTGTACAATGCATTCCGCAGAATCATCGGTGACGTTATAAAAATATCAGTCTTCTTCATACGTACAAATTTCTTACGGGCAATCCTAACATATAACAGCAATAAATCCAGACATATTGTGGAGCAGAAAATGATTACTCATGAGATCACTCATGAGACAAGCCATTTTCCCGAAAGGCCGGAGAGTCAATTTCCAGTTGTCCGCGAGAAAATCCCGGAACAAGGTTTGCACGGTCAAGNGGGGGGGGGGGGGGGCAAAAGTCAACGATATAATATCCTCGCATTGACATGGCCACGATACGATATCGTTTTTGCAACGCGATAATTATCGGCCGACGCGCGATCGCCATGCTAGGCCGTCGTCGTTGGTGCACCACGGCGTTTCCCAGCGTGCGACAGCACTGTACGATGGCAGCAACAACAGCGTGTCGGTACAAAGAAAAACAGTTCGATCGTACGATGCAGAGAAAGTCTCACAGGAAGCGTGACAGATTAATGGAGAGCGACTGAAGAAACGTCGTCCACAAATATGAGTACATACGTGTGTATATGTATGTATGTCGCGTTCGTTTCCTTTCACGAACGAGAACGCGCGCGTTCCTCGGAGTGCACGGAGCCTGAGACGACGGGCGAAGTTCCGCTTCCGGAGATCGACGGCGGAGTATTAATCGTTCGATGAGACCCTAGAAATCAGGGTGAATTTAGAATCCAGTGATTACTGGGCTTTAAATTCGCAGAGAGAGAGAGAGAAACTTTTAAGCAGCACAATTCCCGACGGGCAATCTTGGACGAGAGTCTCGCCTCTTTAAAGAACAACAGTCACCATCGTCGATATCGTCTCGAACGAAATGTCCGTTGTTTCAGCGACCTCGTGATTTCTTTCGGCGAGATTCTATTGTAAAGCCGACTTACGTGGGAGAATCTCGACGGCCTCGCTCTCAGGATCCGTCTTTCGACCTCCGTTCGCACGACCTCCCTTGTCGTCGTGTTATCACACGGCGCGATTTGCGGTTACTTGACGAACGCCCGCGGTAAACGTTCCGGATTCTTCCGAGTGGGGTTCGATATAATCATGGTACTTGCTTTAACGCACCACCGCCACAACGACGCGCCGACACGAAAATGTGCGACGATGGAGGAACAACGACGCTACCGCCACGAACGATGTTCCTGTGCGGACTGAAGGTAGGACGTGCGCGACTGCCGGCAGCGCCGTCAGAGGGACGAGCCCACTTTTCGACGCGGTACTAAAGTGGGGAACAAAAAATGATTCATATACGTAGCTAGATTCAGAGTATAGCCGATGGTCCAATGAGAGAACGAATAACGGTCAAAAGTAAGTTCCCTCATTGGAGATCGGCTGAGATCTGAACTCAGCTGCGTTCAAATCGTTTTATTCTCCATTTTGCCTCAGCTTCCCCGTGAGCTGTGCTGCGACATCATGGACATATGGTATTGGACGGGACATGCTGCAAGATTTCTTTGATCTTTCATATTGACGGGTCTAGAGAAAGAGAAGGTAACGTTCGGGTATGGATTTCTCTTTCTACTGTTCTTTCTGATCAGTTGAATTGTCCAAAGAGAAGGGGGATAGTACTGTAGTCTTACAAGTTGAACATCCTTAACGTTTTGCAATTTGNTATATATATATATATATAAACGTCGTATAAGGCCGAAATTATTATACAAGTTATAAATAATTACTAAATACGGTTTCTGTTTTATTTATGCAATGTTTACTATCCAAAAGTAGTATACACAATTTTTAAGTCTTATAGCTACGTGAGTCATTAGTATTCACACATCTTGTCTCTTTTCGTCATTGTCACAATCCAGTTTAGACACTCGCGTGACCCTGTCGAGCTGTGTAGGATTTCCTTTTAATTCGTCCAATCGTCGCATAGGCAAAAAGAATCCCGTCGCAATTGGACGAAATGGTCGCGTTGGAGCGGAAACGGAGAACACATCGAAGTCGGCTCGATTACAGGCGGTAGGAAGCGAATGCTCGACAGGAAAGCATTCGTTACAAAAGCCGTATACGTTAAGTGGCAGGGGAAGCTATGATAAGAGCCATTGCGTGCTTGTTCGAGCAGGAAAACGACGGCCAACTACGCGCGAGCGATCAGGGACGTCGTGTGCGAGCCTGCATTATACAAATGCAGGTAACATTGTACAAAGCTTCGTGTGCACTGCACTTGATTCTGTCTCGAATGAGGACATCGTGTGAGGACATCAAAGGAAGGTACGTTAATTTAGTTGGAAAAGATAAGGATCGCTTTGACGTTTTCTCTGGGAAAATAGCTTCATATTTTCTCTAGCGATTCTCGCTTGAAAGTACCGACCGGCATTTTTATTGCCGCTTCAAGGTCGATTTTCGCTAGCCGTCTAGTTTGTGACAGACCGAAGTCAGTCTGTCCGTCGAAATATTAATCAATGCTTTCGCATGTTCAGAGTATCCATCAATGTTATTAATGTTATTAATGTTATTATTAAAGTTATTAATATTACTTAAAGTAAAACATTGAGAGATGTCTTAACGCAGAATTGACGCAGGATGCTTGCTGCTGCTGTCTAGACGGACAACCTTTGTCGAAATTGCACGGTGAATTCTCGAAGTTTTCTCCTTACACGAGTTCTATTCATGAGTGTAATTCTTTGGGAATTCACAAAAGAATAATATAAGAATGATTTAGATGCAGCTTTTAATCACATAAAAGAGGAAAGAAATTCAAATTTGTACAAAAATCACATAGAATTGAAAAAAAAAATTATATTATACATAGTCATTCTCAGCTTACAAAATAGCAATTTGAACAAATATATGAGCCTAGTTCAATCATATTCCCGCAACTCAATATTCTCACAATTCAATAAAGTTTCAATGTTATCGCCAACTGTTTGTTATATCGAGATATCACTTATTTGTAAAGAAAATTCCAGTTATAATACTGCACACTGAAAAAAACTGAAATTAACACAAGCGTCTGCTGAAAGCAGTCGCAATGAAGTAATTTTAACAAACGAAACACTTGCATAATTTCTCACGAATTCTTAAAGTATTCCAAGTACAGAATCGTGAAATATTCATTATAATGAACTCTTCAGCAACATTTCAAGACGAAATTGATTATGGCTCATTCATCAAGCATTGAGATATTAATTTTCTCTAGATATTAATTTTCCTAATTTCGGATATTTTTTTAAGACGAATCCTCTCTTCGAAAAGAACAATGCGCGTATATGTGTATGTATGTATATGAACATACACGCAGCGCGCAGTGGCGATTATAAGCAGTCGAAATAAGCGATTGCTCGTCCTTCCGGTTAAATGCGTGATGCGTATTTACGATGCAAATAAAATTGGAATGCATCGGACGTCGTATGACGAACGTATGACGAAGAACATTGAACCATGGTTCATTCATTGTACGTAACACGCGCGCGCGCGCGCTCGTAGATGAATCCGCGATCGGTCCAGATCGAAACTCCTCCGGATTAAATCACGGCTGCGGAAATATATACGCAGAGAAAGGGGTTTTTTTAACACTCGAAAAAAATGGTCATAGCGAAAATTATACGAGAAAGATATGAGAAATTAGCTAAAAATGAGTAAATGGCTAGCAAACACTTCAATGTCATGTATGTGTTGTATCTAATCGATAGATGACGGAGATAAGATTTTTATCTGAACTATTTGTCTGATTTAGCAAGAAAGTTTCACTGTGGAGTTTAATCCGGATTAAGGCCGTTCACACTTCTTATTAAAAATTAGTAACAGGATCTAAATTTTCTTGTACATATCGCTAAGATGCTGTAAATTATATATGTATAAATCATCAAATCCGACGATTCTCCCCTGGTTGCTGCGATTAATTCGGCGATTAATTTCGCGCATTATTGTCACTTTACGCGAACGGCGAATTTAACGTCGTACATTACCTAATAATGTAATTTGCCATCGCGATATTACGTTAGGTTTGCGTCCAATGCAACCGAATGTAATCGCCGTTTCTGCGCGACGGGAATCGTGCTTTTCGCGATCGAATTACACACGTCGCAAACACTTAAGATAGCATTTTGAGAGAACGAGATGATACAGCAAACGCGCTGTACGCCTTCGAGATATTAGAACATCTCAAACAGCCGCATCAGCGGCTCTAAAGAAACGCACGAGTTAATCGTCTTGTCTCTTATCGTGGCGAGTTTTTTCCCGCGATTACTTCATTTTCGGCGAGTTAAATACCTGTACAGATATAATAATAAATTTCAGAAACAAAATAACCGATAAAATCGCACGCGCGCCATCGTCGAAATCGACCGAGCTGGTGAAATACACACGTTGGTAGAAATTCCATTGAAGTTCAACGGGGAACGAATTAAAGAAAGAAGAGTCGGCAGGATTCGGACCGCTCGCAACCCAGAGGAACCATCGACGTTTTTGCTACTTTTGCTTCGTATTTAACTTCATCGGAATACGACGCGAAAATCTTGGCACGTGTTCGCGTATTTATACACAAATATACACGGACTTCGTTCGCTATTTATACAAATTAGTGAGAAGCGTTAAAATTTCGCAATGTCGCCGACGTTATCCGGGTTCTGTCCGAGCAACTCTCCGCCGGGCCCATCGTCGCGTTGTACGAAAACCCACACGTTCTTGTTGAATATCGCGCATTTTTCCGAGTGCGTATGCACAGTTTCGTATTTTGCACGTGCGGTCACGCGCTCAGCTGCACGAAAAGGCTGCATTTACGCGAACGCGGAACGTGACATTCCGCGATGTTTCGACGCATTGTGTGCTCGATCCGGCATTCTTGCACGCGCGGCTTAATACGCCGAATAAAGTTGTCCCTCCTTCCCGACGCACTTAATCTTCGTTGATTGATTACGAATTCGTCGGCTTTCGTCGAACGCGATTTCACGGCTGATTGAGAGCGTTTACGCGAACCGGCACGATGAAGCAATATCTATATATAATATATACGCAAAATTGTTTCCCCCTTTTTATTATTATAATCACACGTTTCGACGATATGACGATTAATCCACGCCGTAAGATTCTACCGTGTAACCGCTCATGTGGAAATCACACAGTCGCGGTGCGCGCTTTTCTATCGCACGGCGTTTCTATATTTTTCCGTTTTTTTTCTCTTCTTTTTTATCATAGATTTTGTAATTTGCTCGAAGGCCTCGTCGAATGTGCACGACCTTTCTCTTTTTGCGCCACATCGTTTTGCCAACCTCGGAATACATAATCGTTATCCGGAAATTTACAGATCACCGCCGCCATGTAACACGTGCGTGAAAGTTCACGATATCTTGTGATAGCGGAAGAAGCGAGCTCCGAATCGTAAAAATTGTTTCTTCCTCGTGCCACCAGTGGCTACTTAACAAAGCAACCGTTTCACCGTTAGATGCGGAATGACGATAGGCTTTCCTTTTGTTTTTTTTTACTATAGTTACTATGGTCAAGTTTTACGGTACGTTTCAAAGGAAAGTTGACTATTCATCCCGGCTGCTCGTTTTCTCTAGGTACTTCTCTAAATACTTATCTTCTCGGATATCTCTTTTAGGATTCGTTACGTCCTTTATCGAGAATTTCAAGAAGAGACGATTTTATATGTGTGCGTATGTATGAGGCGTCATAAAATGAGAGAAACTGCGCTGAAAAATGAGTTTGACTGGATGTACCTGACAATGGACTGCCAAACGCGTTTCGGTTGGAGCAAACAAAATTTCCAATTCACTCGCGAAGCGAATTTCTCACAACCAGGAATTCCGTTTCCTTCGACCAAAACGCGCTTGGTTAATCGCCGGATAGATTGAACCGGATCTATTTTTCAGTGTGACGAGAGGAATAAATTCGCAAGATTATCAACGAGCGTCCATCGTCGGAGATCCAAAGGAACACGCTAATACGCGAGTTACTAACGCGTTGTTATCGCGACGGCTGTCAGATGACGCACAGTTGGGAAAGTTGTTTGCGACGATCAGCTGCGGATATTTTCCCGCGGTCGTCGCGCCTGGCACAAAGTCCACCGACCAAGAAATTCGCTCCCTCCTGAACATTTCTCAGTCGCGTCGCGTTAAATCGCCCGTTCTCGAAAGACCCCGGCGAGTATCGATGTGTAACGAACGTAACGCGCTCTTATTCAACCGCGCTTCCAATTATGCGCTGGCTAATTTTAGCGGACTCTGATTTTAGCTTGATAATTAAACGAAGAAAGAGAAAGAGAGAAGAGGCGGCTTTTGCAAAAAATCTTCGCTCAGAGGAAAACCCGAGGACAGATTTAACAGACGGTTAAAAGAGGCGCGGTACTGATATTTCGTGACGACCCGGTACAGGTATCATTTTAGAATGAAAAATGACCCCGACTACGTGTGGGAGCGAGAGAAGCCTTCAGATTTAATTTCAACGTCGCGCGCGCTTACATATACATATATATGTATATATATATCGACATTGTCGGATTTCTTTAATACAATCACTGAGAGAAAAAAAAAATACCTAAGAGACAAAAAATATTTATTCGATGGGAACTAACAATATATTTACTTATACTAATACACATATTTTTACGTTGAAAATTTTCTTTCTGATGAGAAAGTACACATTTTCTTAAATCTATAGTTTCTCATGAAAAAACAATTTATCCTTAAAATAGAGAATTTAGATTTAATTAAATATGTAATTAGTACCCGAATAAATATTTCCTATTTTTCAGATATTTTCTCTCTCAATGTAATGTTATTTTATCAAAGGAGTATCGTTCGTTGTGTAACAACGAATACAATGATTACCGATAAAAAATTAAAAAAAGGGGCAATTGTATGCAATTATATGACAAAATAGATAGTAAAAGCACGAATTATTATCCACATCTCCTTCGGAACGTTTTTCTCGCGCACCGATATATTCCGGTGCTCCGTTCAACCTCTCCCCGTCCAGGTATCGATACCTAGTCGCGATCGCTTCTCTCGCCTACCTGCAGAAATGATCCTGGCATGTGCTAACTTCCGGCGGGCCGCATTGCACACGAGACTTCGGCACTGTCGATCATCGTTGTCCTTCGATCGCAACGGCGCAGCTAACTGGTTTCTCCCTTCCTTCCAATTTTTCTCTCCTTCTTTCTCTCTCTCTCTCTCTCTCCCGGCGACGGATCGTTCCAGTTGATCGGATCGATTTCCGGATTGGTATCGCGAATAAGCGGGTGAAAGAAAATCCGATCGAACGTACGTTCCAACGCGTGCGAACGCTCGAGTGCTACTAGCTTCGCTCGCTCGCTCGCTCGTGTTACGCGAATGCTACCAGCGACGCTTCTAATTTCCCCCACATCCCTTCTCTCCGGCTACCCGTTATATGTGCGTGAGCGGTTACGTCGAAGTGGAATGAAGTATACACAGAAATAAGTCACGATGCCCTGTATGTACAGTCGATCACAGGTCGGTTGCGATTGTTTTTTTCACTACTTCGGACATACGAAAAATACGACGAAGCGAATCTATGATTCACGAACGTGCGATAGATGATCGGACAGCTGTCAAAATTAGATATATGTATATGTCAAAATTACACGTGTTTTTCATGTGTTCCGAAAGGTGTAAAAAAAAATTTTACAACTGGCCTGTGATCGACTGTACGCAGAGGGAAGTCCGCCGATATCGACGTCAAACGTCACGGATGACATATCACTTATTTGTCTAGCGATGTTACGTTAATCAGATGAAAGTAAGAAAAAATGTGTGGGTGTGGGTGTGTGTTGATATCTCGGTAGTATCGTGGCATCGCAAGTACTGATATTCTAGTAGTGCCGCAATACAGTCTTCCTTTCGTCTGACCGATTAAGGTTTTTTTTTTTTTTCGAACTTACGTGTCATTTTTAATTGATGCGTTTGATACACGGAAAATATACCGTCGTGTCTATAGAATTGGTCAACAGCGTCATAACTGCGGCACATCTTCAATGATTCAATGGTGATTTTATCGAAATTGATATTTCAGTTATTAAAATAACTTTAAAATGACGTTAAATGACATTAAAATAACTTTAAAATGACGTTAAATGACATTAAAATAAATAATGACGTTAAAAAGACATTTTTAAAACAGTATTTAAACCTAAATAATGATGAAACTACGAAAATAGTTAAAGCTTCAAAATTTTCAGTCAAAAAAGGAGGAAAAAATATGGCAATGCGAATCGGTACGCTGAAATATATATGCAGACCATCAAACATTTTTTGACCGAAACGTACGTAATAAATATACGTATATATTTTATACATTTTTTATATTCTTTTTTAATAGTAATATTATATTAATAAAAATATTGTTAATAGTTTGCATATTTATTTCAGCTTGCATTCCCGTACATTTTTCCTTTTTTTCAATTAAATTCTAAAATACTCGAATTAAAACCATGTATGAAGTATTAGTTTCAATGACATCGCAATGAATCAGGAAGATTTATACTCCATTTACGACGCTACTGATCACTTTTATTGACGCAACAGCTTTTTTTTTGTATATATTTCATGGAGCGCATTAATTTATTTTCCACATCTGTATCATTTAATTGCACTATCTGCACCATTTGATTGCTGGAGGGTTTTTTTTTTACTTAACGTCGATTTTCGAGGACTGATGTTAAGCGGACAATATGATAATACCGCGATAGCGGTATGAGAACAGCGATAGCGTATATCGTAGTTAGTGGCCTTGCATGACACGCTTCTACGTTTAAAAGTATCGCATGTTCTCCTCGCTTTCTTCTAAGATTTATCGATAGGATTAAATCGGCGAGATCTCATTGTGTATAGTTCGCGTGTATTCTTTTCTTTCTCTCCATCTATCGCTCTTAACAACGTATTTGCGACAACACGTTGTGTTGCTCGAATCTTGGCGGTTATCATAGAAAAAATCCCGCACTGTGGACACCTTCATGTCCACTCTTTACGCATTCGGTTCGCGGCCGCGATAAATGCTGATATCAGCAGCATTCATTGTCTATTTGTCTTTTATTATAGAGGTTGCGCGCTACTCAAGTCGCGCATTCGTTCGGATTACGAAATTATCGTTCTCACTGCCGATATTCGCTTTCCAAAGATGCACGAAGATAAGATAGCGCCGAGTCAATCTCCCCTTTCTAATCTAATTAGTCTATTGATGTCTGAGTATTAATCATTAATACTCAGACATCAATTGCGTCGGAAAATAACGAGCTCACTTCGTTCCCGGATATACGCAACTAGACGAATAAGCAGAACTTATCTCGTAAAAAAAATAGCGACGGACCACAAGCGAGCGTGTACACAGATTTAATTACTTTGCGATTCGGGATTTATGCTGTGCCATCGTGTCGCTGCGAGAGAGAGAGAGAGAAAGGGGAGGGG